CTCTCGTTTGCGATCACAGTTAACAGTTCACTTTTTTTGTTCAAAACGGAATCCGAGTTCGTGTAAAAACATTTTAAAACTTTTTGTGCACTTTCACTTTGATGTATGCGGTTACTCCCTACATTATTTACAGGCCTTAATCTACGGACATCATTCCTACCAATTACTTGTCCTCCATCTCCTCTGACTGTCCTTGAGCAGCCGGTGTTGTCTTGGCAGCTTGGAAGTGATTGACCTGATTATCATAACATCAAACGACATTATCAAAAAATATCACTTTAATGCTACTAAGCAATGAACTTATAACCTGAACACCTCGGCCGCTGACAAAAGGCAGTCAATTCATATGGGTAATGAGAAGTTTCTTTGAGCAACTTGATACCAAGCGTATAGTAATGTTCTCAAACTCTATGTCACATTTGTTTCTCGGCGGTATTTTTTTGTTAAAGGACCAACCTTTGAGTAATTATTCGCATTTTTACACCATACAATCGCGCCCGATTCGTCACGGGTTCAGAAAATAGCGGATTGCTCAATGAATTAAAATGGCTCAAAAGATACAGGTACACAAGAAGGCAGCGAGTGCTTACACGATTAAAATCCCATTGCTCTCATTGGATGGCTAGTAATTAAAATTAGGGCGGTGAACGAGAATCTAAATGAATGGTAAATGATTAGGGCAGGCGTTAGCTAATGCACCCATTGCACACCGAACGGATTGAACAAATGAACTGTTTGCTACATAAATATGAAGTGAACACCAAAATCCGTATGACAGCCAACATATTGTCCTCCAGGGATATTACACTAATTTAGGCTTCCCGTAATATGTGGACTGTGAAAATGGAGACAGCCTCATCAGTACGGTTGTGGAAATGTCGACAAAGGTTTGGTTCGAGCTCGTCAGTCGGGAACCTAATTCCGTAAATATATATCAATTTTCTAATTATAGCATATGCATATAATCCTTTGTGTAATCAGGGATTTTTCGTCCCGGACGTTAATGTACGAACAGCTTTGATGACGGTTAATACATCCGCAGACTAAGAGTTACATGATTTACATGCACTTGTTTACGAATCGTACGCACGCAATGTAGGTACGCATGTTGATATGAGATACACTTAACTGTTATTTATTTATCACGACAAACTTATCCCACCAACTATAACAAACTAAGATATCGGTATTGAGTTCATTTTTTTCAGACATGACACCTACAATAAGCGTTTCAACTCGTAGAATTCCTCACATTGATCATATTAAATATATTTAATATAACAATAAATTACTTTTTTTGTTTCAATATTGACTAAAATTCAATAGTTTGTGCTATTTCAACAAAATATTCAAGTGATTGATACCTTGTGAGACGCTGATACCAGGACGTGAGATACTGTAGTCAGCGAGCTCGGATTTCACGTTGTCAGGAATTGAGAAGGCCTTTACGACCTCAGGGCTGAACGGTCTGCAAAACCCAAGTCTTGAATTTAAAGACATAATCAGCTTTAACAAACAGGAAACTACCTATACAAATTACCATCTGTCTACTCGAACAGATTGTAAAACCCAGTGATGTGGGTAAATCCAGCAAGCTTTAGATTAACCCTACAGTGCTCTTAAAAATGTAATCCACGCCTACGAAATTCGACCGTAACAAAAGCGACCGAATAGGTGACCTTCTCGTCAGTTTTAGCACGTGACCACTGTGATAAGAATAGCTTCCATTGTCCGAATTATACCAAAAGGCTTCATTTCATCAAAAACAGCAACACAATCAACCATTTTCAAAACCAAAAATGGAGTCGAACACCAATATAATATTACTCACACCTATCATTCAAGGAGTTCTTAGCAGATAAATTGAAGGCTGGCAAACAATAAGGCTACTGGTTCAAAGTTGAGGTGTTAGCAGTTAAATTATAGCTTCAGCCACTCACACTCCCTCCTGCAGCTCCCTGACGCGCTGTTTCTCCAATTCATACCACTTATTACGGGCAGTTTTGTTGAGTCCAGACGGCACTTTCCTGTCATACAAATGCTTAGTATTTCATTTAAAGAGTCAGCAATTCAGTAATAGTCTAGCAGTAGTCAAATTACTTATGTCTAAAAAAAATCTTCAGATCTTCTCAAAAGAAAAGCTGTTGAAAATACCTATTTTGTTACCTACAGCTTTTCTTGATTATAGTAGGTGATTCAAATTTTATTTTGTATTTTTGTTTCCATTCATTTACAACATTTATTTCCAAAGTCTAAGCATTACCAACAAAATAAAGTAAGAATGTGAAAATATTCACTTCTACTTCAAGTCAGTAATTAATATAATAGGAACAGAACAGAAAAAATGACATGAGAAATTTTATAACGCAACAGAAATATGATATAGAAGCACATGCAATCAAGGATATAAATAATTTGAAATAATTTATGATCAATAATTGATTTCAACTAAAGTATGGCTGATAAAGCACCTCATGAAAGGCTTCAGAATAGATGCCATGTGACAGTTGTAGCCCAAGCCTCCATTGCTGGGGCTGTTCCAGTCTTCAGTCATCAACTGGAATGAATCATTGTAATATTAAAGTCAATAATTTTATTTAAGAGGTCTCCCTATACTTTCAGCATGCAAATGAGGAGTACTAACACATGGACTTGAATTCATTTAGAACAACTATGACCAAAACATTCATGAATAGAACTATAGAAGTATACAAAAATACAACCTGGCACTTTGAAGCATACTGCTCTGCCTCCATTATCATTGCTGCATCATCCTCATCATAATCCTCAGAGCTAGACGATTTTGAATCCTCATTCTCCTCTGAACAAAGTAAATCAATTAAGATTGATATATTACACATTTCCATGTTCTGCATGATTTTTACACTACAGCTGGGAAACTGTAACAGTGGTACTATAAAATGACACTATAACTTTAAACCAACTCGTAGTAGTGTTGGAGAGGAAGATTAGATCTAGTCTGGAGTGCACTGGTTCAACTTGGACCAATTGGTCACCTAAATGAATCTGAGCCTAAACTCAACTCTTGCACCAGAATATTCTGAATTAAAGTGTGCAGGAAGGCAGCTACACGTGTGATCACATCAAAATTTCAGATGTTCACTTTCCCAAATTTTCAACACAACACTTACATGCATTGACCCACAACCAAGATAATTAGGAGATACCTATATATTCCAAAATATATATTCAAAAAAATGAATGGACACCACACTATATGGCTTAAAACAGTGAACATAAAATACACTAGTCAGGTGCCCATAGGCATGCAGTAACCATTCAAAAGCTCCACTTAACCATCACCTTTATTAAGAAAAGTTTGACTAAACTAGCTGTCATAAAACTTGCCAGTGATTTCATGTCGAACACTTCGCAAGACAACAACATTGTCAGGGCATTCAACAATGTGAGCTTGATAGAAGTATGCAGGCACCCGATGAGTGGCATTGAAGGGGCAGGTCTCCATTTTTATTTGGGGGTGCGACTACAAAACAAAATAGTTAGTGTTAGTTCTCAAAACATGTAATGACTTCAATTCAATTACAGTAATTTATTTCAAACTCATCCTGATCAATTTTAAATACAGGGTGATTCACAGAAACTTCCCATTTTGTATATTGCGCCAAGTGGCCAGATGTAGGAAGAAGGCGGGAGTATTTCATATGGAGCAAGGCCATGAAGTTTTGTGCCATGCCTAGTCAGTTTCCATTATGCATTAGACAACTGAACAGCTTGCCTTTCTTGTCATGGCGTTCTTTCCATTATTATTCAACAAGAAATATATACTTGGTTCTGTATTTGTCCTTTAGGTTGGGTTCCTGATCGGAAATCAATTGTTATGTGGGTGAACACCTTTAGGGCAAGTGGAAGTGTGAATGCAAGAGTGTCTGGACAGTCAGCAGACTGCCACAACACCCAAAAACATAGAGAGTTAGAGAGGAGTTTTGCCATCCTCCACACCTTCTGAACATTTTGCAGAGCACCTCATCTCCTTGAGATGATCCTCCGATTTGGCTCCATGTTATTCTTTTTATGGAGTTATCTTAAATCAATTGTTTACAATGACTGTCCAAAGACCCTACCTCATTTGAAGAACATATGAAAAGCCATCTACAACATAGCCATCAATATGCCTCAGCGAGTTGAATGGAACTTCAAAAATCAACTATCTTAATGCATTGACAATGGTGGCCATCATTTATCCAATATCAAAATTAAGTGATACAAAAATTCAGGGGATGTCTTTTTTAATACAATTTACATAGTAATGATATGGTTACTGGTTCTCTTTTTATTGAACTATAAATCATGAAGTTTCTGTGAAAGCCCCAGCACATTGATACACTTCATATAATGCAGTGTAATCCTGATGTTAACTCCTCATTTATGCAAGGACTGTAAACCAATTCCAGCCAAAAAAATTTAACTTCATCTCTAAGCCAGATTTAAATGTGCTTGCCAGCCAAGTAACTGGCACAGATGAAACAGAGTTTTGTTCTAAAGAGAAATACTGGAACTATGATGTCCATTAATGCACCAATGTCATTCATCATTCAGATACAAACAGATGAAACTACATAACTAACCTTGCTGCACTTGAGGATGTGAATGGCCAACCGATTTGGATTGATGCGATGAGCAGCATTGTATGGGCAAGACACAAGCTTGTCAGTATAAGACATTGTGCACTTTTTTGGAAAGCTGCAATTTCAAAATGATTTATTGACTTGAAGCATTAAAGAACCAGCTTAGTATAAATTTATCTATAAAAAGTTTGGGAAAGAGGTCAAAAGCACAATATACAAAAAAAAATTTTCCTAATTATAGCACATTCTAGAACAGCTTAGAATAATATTCATGATACACGCTGAGAAAAAACAACGAAAATACTTCTTGCAGCCCTTAAAACCTTGTCTACCTCAAATAATCTAGACAGGTGCACTGTCAATCATGAGCACCATCAATTGCATGTTATTTAAAAAAATCAGCAAGTTAGCAGCAGTGTTAACTGGCAACTTGGGTGCCATTGACAGGGAAGATTTAGAAGATGCTCAACTTCCATAAAGTTTACAGTCGTTAATTTGATATAAAGTCATGGCAAATTTGTTCACAATGGGATGGGTTAGACACTTTTTTTTAAACAAATTTCCAATGAGTACAAGAAAGTTATACCTACATTTGTTATTTAGATGTTTAGAAAGTTATATAGATGGACTTTCATTTGCCTTTCACTAAAGCCATGATGTGAAGCATACATGGAAGCCACTATAATTTGAAAATGCACAAAAATACAGCACAGAAATTAGTTTCAACTCAAAATGACCCCTCCAAGTGAAATGCTTGTCAATTCCAGGACAGTTCACAAATGTACAATTTATCTCCCCAATCAAATTTTTATACCAATTACAGCATTCCTTGTAAAGTTTACCTGACATTTCAATCAATGTTACTGATATAATTGTCATAATTGCATTGTTACACCCCATGAGTGGCAGATATACAAGAGAACAGACCACAAAACAAGTTACTGAACTATTAGCAACATGTATATACATAGCCATGCTCAGGGAGATGTATTTTTTGACCAAATGGCACATGCAATTTGTAAGCTGGAACAACTTCAATCTTCTGCATTGGCAAAGAAAATTCCAAACTAGTAGAAAATCCTAGCCATCTACATAGCATTGTGAACAAAATTTACTAGTTGTTATAAAATGACAATTTGGAAGATTTCATATAAGTCAAGACATGAATTCAGCATATTAGTCAGGTTTATTTCTACTGAAATATCATTTAAAATAATTCTGCAAGTTGCTCACAACTCAGCTATCCAATCAATAGAAAATTTTTCCTTTGCCAAGGAATGATTTTTGCTCAGTTAGTAATTCAGGTACCAAATTACTAATTCCCAAGGATAAAACTGTATAATAAGAAATGCTTAAATGAAAATAAGATCACACATCATTCTATTAATGCACATTTCAACTGAAGTTTTTTTTTACTTAGCTATGGATGTAGAAAAATTAAGATACACTATGGTGCTGCATTAATGCAGCTCAAATTGCTTCTGATTACAGCCCTACCAAATAGCATTACTACCAGCACTACTTCCTATTAGGAAGTATTAGCAATGACTAAGCATAGATGTATTGCAGGATGGTAAAAAAAAAGGAGATGCAAGAACATGGGCACTGGGTGTGAATAGATGTATATACATAAATACATATACCGGTATTTGACATACAACTGTGGATGAAGATCAGCTAGTGTAATGCAAGACAACATATGAGAATGAAAAATTCTTTCAATGGAGATGATATTGAATGAGAAGGTGAAAGAAAATAATGGCTTAGGGTATGAGAGAACAGATGAGGATTGCAATTGATATGTGTTGATGAGAGGAAGAAACTGCAGCTATGAATGAGATTGCAAAAAAGATATTTACAGCATATGGAGGCCCAAAGGAAGAACAAGGACTGCAGAAATGGTCTCATTGCCTGACAAAACCAAAATTAAATAAAAAATAAACTCTATTCAATCAACAGATAAAAGAACAATAGTTTAAATTTCATAATTTAAATTTTCCTCAATTTGGATTCATCTTAGTTTTTAAGACAGTTACATTTTGTGGACATACATGTTAGGCTCCGAAGATGGCTTAGAAAATTTATTGATTTTTCATTGTACATATTTTAGCCATTAGAATGGTGCACTGATCAGATATGGCATGGCTGCCCCATGCAGAGGCACACACTGAAGTCTGAATTCCAATTCCAGCTGTTGGGTGAATACAAGTTAATTCTAACTTGAGTAGATCCCATGCTTTATTAATTTGAAATTTTGAATGGCATTGTCTTTGCTAATAACAGGCCCTTCAACTGGTTCAAATCCACATAATTCCTCTTAGAATACTTGTATTCTCTAACATGGTTGTGGGCATCTGTTGTACTTGTAAGTTGTAACTGTAAGTACTCAACAATTGGGATTGGGATTGGGTCTTGATCTTCTGATGACATGAATTTTTGATGCTAGTGAGTCCTCAGATATTTACATATTCATATATATATATACTTTTTATTTGCCAGAAATGCAGAAACTCCAAACATTATGGATAAACTCAATTTTCCACTTGAACAGTGAATATTTCAAAATGTATTTTAAAAAATTGATCATGGCTAATGCCTAATGGATACATGAAACAACATTAATATTTCCTATAATTTTAACATGGCCTTACTATTTGCCTCATAAACAGTGCAATACTGACCATAACATGCATTGTATAAATGTGAAAACAAAAAATTCAAAAACCTTGCTATGATAAATATAGAATTTTCATAGTCTATTCCTGATAAATGGTAAAATGCTGGTATCCATCATAGTTCATGCTCATGCGCAATACAAAAACCAAATGGATAGTTTGAGATGGAGCTGATGGAGGCTTTCAGGCTGAATAAATCAGGCAGATAGCTTGCCAAGCTTGGTCACTTATTATTTTTCTAATCATTACCTACAATTTTAGAAGTATTGTAAAGTTTACTACAACTTTTTAAGCATAAAGCAAGTAATGCTGCAAATCTATTATAATTCCAAGGCCAATATTGGCAGAAAAAAAGCTCATGAATGACTGATAGTGATGGCATTTGAATCATGCCATCATGGTATATATAGTTTATTACACCTATTACTATATCATCTAAAAGTACCAAGACTATGAGACTCTAGTGTCTACAGTCTACACTCTACAGTGTAGGCTGCATACTGCCTACAGGTACAAGAACAAAATTGGAAATGACAATTCAGAGATTACAAATTAACTATACATAGTAAAATAATCGTAGTGAGTAGTGGCAAACCAGACTTTATAGAATTGGTTCATTTTCACTCAATACTCAAGAATTAAACCATAAATTATCATATAATATCTTATGTACAATAATGCTGGTATGAGTGATACCTATCCATGATACTTTGCTAGTGCTAGTCTACTCATAATACATATGACTCAAAAATGAACTTGTGCTTGTTGAGGAATAGGTCTAACAAAGTCTCACGGTCTCTGCAGTGACGCAGTCATTTAGTATCACTGTAGTCTGTATGTGACAATGTGTAGGCTATCATGCATAATTGCAAAGCAGACTGCTTAGCCAATAGCCATTATCAATCATTTATCATTATGCATAGCCTTACTGCATAGGATAGGTAGTAACTAGTAAGACCTAGTCAAGTGCATAGGCTAGGTCCATAGGATGACTCAGACTGTCTACAATTTCTAACAAAGTCAATCTTGCAAGTAACAACCCTACAAATAGAAATGGCAGCTTGTGAAATGGCAAAACCCTCACCTAGCTATCCCATTATTCTGAATATTTTTAAGAAACTAGCCTAATTCTCGACGTTGGTGTGTGCCTAGCAGGCTAGCACTGCCACCGGCCCACATGCACATTCAAGTTTCAACTAGGAGTAGCCAGTAGGTAGTTCTGACAGACTGACAAATCACATAACAACAAAACTTGTATTGCAAGGCAAATAAGCAATCAATATTCGACTTAGAAAGATTCGTTTCTTCGACAACAGGGCAGCAACAGGGAAAGCAATATTGAGAACTGGTTTCTTAAAATCTCTCGATTGCCCCTAAGACCGCAGACTTCAGAAATTTCGAGAAGCCGAGCTAATCTGGCTCGCCAACTTGCAAAGGGCCCAAGACAATCGACAGTCCAAGTACAATGTGAGGCTGATTTGTGAGCCGAGACGCCGAAATTGCCGGTTGCCACAGTGATTAAATCAAACGAATTTTTTATTCGCTTCCAGGCTCCAGGCTGTAAATAAGAAAAAAACATAGAACGCTGATAGTCTAAACTAAACCTTAATTACGCAGTAGACTTATTACCAAACAAATTATTTGTTTTGCTCCCCATTCTACAACAAGATACGCAAATTTATAAAAAAAAATATTTTAAGGCATGCTTTGTCACTTCACTACGCAGTCCTGTCATGGTGATAAACTGATTATCGCGTTCTAAAACAGTGTTGCCAACTTTTTTCTCGCTGAATGTAACAGATTGCCTAGCTAAAAAAAATATATCAATTTTTTTTCTGTCCAAAACAGATTAACACCTCTAAATTCAATTAAGCCTATTCGTCAAAAATGTTGGTTCTTGCGAAGAAGTCATATGTATCATTTTACTGTACTTGGCTTGACGTATAATAAGCAAAATTGAACATGGGGACATGTGTTATTTATTTTTTCCTTTATTTCGCATTATTCTGACACATTCTCCAAAAACGAAAAAGCATTGCATACTGCCTAGCTAGGGGAAGTTCTAACGTTAGAGGTAAAAACTTGCGGCCGTTAACTTGAAATTTTTAAAGAGAATTATACTAATACGTTTTATTTGTTTTTTTTTATTATCAATTCATACAAGTTAATTTGACAGGTACATACTGGTACATTTTTACCGGTGCCATCATTCTGACCTTTGCTAACATGTGCATTTTATATTGTAATTTACTTGCTAATTTATTCGCTTATTCATTTAAGCTTATGTGTATTGGTGTAGTTCGGCAGAAGCTTCTCTTTTATGCAAGTTTGATTGAAGACCAGAGCATGCTTTTTATTTACAATCTTCTTGTTCGTCTTTTCAATGAGTCGAACCAAATTTCTAGCTGGAGCCGGGAGATCGAAAAGCATGTTTCCAAATGACATTTTAATAGATTGCGACGTTTCCAAAATACAATTTTCATTATCAAGCTGGTGAAGGTTTTACAACATCTGAAATTGAATTTGAAATGACAGAAGTACATAGCAAAGGTAAAGTGGATACAATACGAAATATTAGCTTAAAAATTACTCCGAAAATAATTTCAGCGTCCGGACGAATCCAGTAGCTTGGAGGTTGATAGCCGGAGACTCGCTCTTGATAATGAGGGCCTCAGCTATCGTCAATCGGGGCCCTCATTATCAGCTATCGGGGCACCGCATAACCTGTCTCTTATACACATCTAGATGTGTATAAGAGACAGGTACTCACTGCAGTGAGTGACAGAGAGCGCATTTTCTCGTCGACGAAAACTTGAGGTCACGGACAGACAGACAGACGGACATGGCGAGCACAATAGTGCATTTTTTCCATGAATGAGAAAATGCGCTAAAAAGGGAAAATTAGAATTTAAAAAGAAAAAAATTCAGTCATGCCTGTGGATTTAGATTTTTAAATTCTTTCCATGGACCATAGATAAAGGTTCTGTGTTTGGCAATAGTGTGGAGGTGTAATTTCCACATAACTGGGATTTTTACACAATTTCTCAAGTGACAACTAAAAACAGGATATTGCGGCCGAGGAAAAAGTGAAATTGACCAAATACATCGTTTTATTTCAGTCAAAATTCCGAAGTGACAAAATATATTATAACAATCCCAGATTTTAGCAAATAATCCACCTGCAGATCATATAGGGTGCTTCTAGAAGCTTTTTAATTTAATTTTTACGCTTCCAGAAGCTTTTTAATTTATTAAAGACGATTTTTAATTAATTGCTTCGGAAAATTGGTGTCAAAAAACGTAAATATTCAAATAAAATAGGATAATTATGATACAACCAAACAATATGCCACTAATATTTCCGTTTCGTCATTCCTTTCCTCACAACGAATATTAGGCGATTATTTAGGAGGCACCTTACCTTTTTGGATGTGGACGCCTTCAGAGCCATGAGCATGGCCATTGGCCACCTCTCGGGCACATTTACAGCTGAACACGCGGCCCATCTCCAAGATTCAGTGATTCTATATCTCCCAAACTACTGAACGCAGCACGCTGCTCGGACACTGAAGGCCCTTTTCCACTACGGGACTGATTCGGAAGGAATGAGACTGGCCTGAGACCAATAAGTCTCATGGAAAAGGGCCTTTATACGGCCACACTCGTGTATTCAAAACGTGAGTTCGGCCATACGTGTTCATAAGGCCCTAACGGTGATGTTTAGGTCGTGATCATTTTTTTCGATTTGGCCTTCGTTTGCCAGTCATTCGGCAACACGGGCCGAAATTCGAAGTGAGCCTAATATATCTTCTATCCTACGGCGTATATATTTGAATATAACTTTGAATGTGTATTCGTAACCACCTCACAGTGATTCTTAATTCGTGAAGAAATTGTCGAGTTCGCATTCTTTCACGATTTATACGGTTAATGTTATGGTAGTCTCCAAGCTGATAGAATTTTAAATCAAATATAATGCTGATCGTTTGCAAAAGGGGAGCAATACAAGGTACTGATTGAAAACCACTTTCTGTTCATTTACTATTTAGTGACTTTTGAAATTCTCCTTGTCATTTAACCAGTGCTTGGACTATTTCTATCTGTGAGTCTTCTCTTTAATATTCTACAACTTTCGGCTTCATAATTATGACACAACGAGATTCAGTTTCGATCAACATGTTGACTTCACTGCAGTCTGGCAGGAACTGTTTGCGCAATCTGGTTGCGTGTCTGGGGAAGCGATTACTCAACATATTGTGCACTGTGCAGTCGCTTGATATGGCTCCTATACACACAATATTATTGAGCAAATCAAAATTTTGCGCTTTGATATCGAGCGTCTAGGGGCTGCTTCAGGGCTGCTCTAGACTCACAACAAATTTGACAATCGGTCGCATTAACGCCGGTCGTTTCTCCGGGTAGCCGTATAACTCGCAAACGAAGGCGAAATCGAAAGAATTTTCACGACTTATGCCTCACTGTTAGGTGTTAGGAATGCATATTAAAAGTTTCGCTCAAATATGTACGGTGCGAACTTCAGACCGTATATATAACTCGAAAACGACGGCGAAATAGAAAAACGATCGCGACCTAAACATCACTGTTAGGTCCTGTTGAGTATTGAACATGCGTGCAAAGTTTCCACCAGCTGCGTTCATTAGTTTGGGAGATATTTTAGGCTCACTGAAACTTGGTGACCGGCAGCGAGTCCGGCCGTAAAAGTGTCCGAGATGTGTTGAAGTCCGTAATATTCGTGTAGTGATAGAGCGTCTAATGATACTTTAAAATTTGTTAATATTCGAGCGATGACTTTAAGCAAAGCAAATAGCAGTCCTTGATAGTTCAGAGAAGAGATTTATTTCAAGACTTTGGTATAAAAACAATTCACAGTTGGCAAAAATGAAATTTTTTTATCGCCATAGCGTGTCAAGCTCCTATATATTATCTAACTTTTTCCCTACATTATCTTACTTCTCTATTACTATCTCTACATTATCTTATTTTGCTTTGGAATATTATCATCTAGTAATTGTGCAAAAAGTAAGCTGTGAAGACTTGTGCGTTTATTACATTGAAACAGGTTTGAATGGCTAACATTTGAGTAATCCGAAAAGCAGCCACAAGATAGTGTGCCACCAGTTTATTGTTACCAGTTTGACGTTTAACAGATTTCAGAACAGAAGTTTAACATGAACACTGTTCTCACGAATTAAAAATTGCAGAGCTGACGATACTACGTATTTTCAAAGCTATAACGTACGTTTCGTGCATCTGCATATTTTTTCTGATTACTTTAACCCCACTGATGCCTGAACTCATACATTGTGATTGTCGCTGTGTGAACGCTGCTCTCATTCTCGTACCGTTAGCTTGGGTATATTGGCCCAAAAATATAACATTGGCCCAAAGTTAGACAAATTTTTGTTGTGCTGCAGCTAGTGTGGTCATATGGTGAGAGGTGATAGCCAGTGGTCCTACCTATCGAGTAATGCATGAACTTGGTCGATAACTCATAACATGATTACATTACAACTCAACTAAACTTTTTTAGCATTGGACAAATATTACACTTGAGGGCCAATCTCACACCAGCTGCTGTAACCAATTCGAGTTTAATGTCAATTATAGTCAAATAAAAATGTAGTACTGGAAAAATTTATATGATAAAAGTTTCTGACGCGTTATAAATAGTATTTATGGGCGGACATAAATGGTGTCTAATGAGCGTGAAATTATATGTGTTCTCACTCGTGGATTCCACAAGGAAGAGAGTACGACTGTACGTGCTTGTTTCAAATTCAACAATCGCAGATCATCTTCGTCTACGCGAATAATTCGATGCTTGACTCGTCCATTCTTCTACCAAGATTGATTAAGAACATAGGCCGCTTGTCGCTAACCTTATTCCGGTGACGCGAAGCAATTTTTAGTAACCTGTGCAGAATAATGGCAGCATCGAGTTGAATAAAGTGAACAAATTTACTGGCCGAACTTCATGCCAATTTACTGCAAATTTAATAGATTGAATGAAATGTATACAGTTGAAAATTTTTAATAAGAAAACACTTGTTATCCGTTTGCCTCATGTCGATTTCACGACACGATAGTCTTACCATTTAATTACAGTGTAATATTATACATATATTTTAAGCATTTTTATAATAACCAAAATACATTCGGAATATTTTTTCATTATTTTGTTTAAACACATAGCTATAAATTTATTTCATTTGACTAATTTTACAAGTCAATACCTCGTTCCACATTTAGCTTGACAAGTTATGCTAAAATATGGAACATTGAAAGGCGATTCTTAGAAGAAATTTCTGTTTTATCACACATAAATATCAAGCCTTGGATATATTAGTTCTGGCTGCTAATTTACCACTACACTGCTAAAAAGAAATGAATCGAATTCCTTTTACCGATAATAAATAATTGATATTTCAACTCGCTGAAATTTAGTCCTGCCCGTTCGATTGCTAGTACGTTCCAGAATGAATTATCCTGCACTTTAAATCTTGTTAAAACGCTGCTTTGAGTCCTCAAACAGTAACGCATTAGAATGCAATGCTCATTTTTAGAAGACTACTGCTTACAGGACATACCTACGTTTTAATTTTCAACATAAACTAGTCACATACCACGAAAAATGACATTAAAACAACTTTTGTTGATCGTTGTTGTTGGTATATAACCATGAAGGCAAAGTATAAACACAAATCACATACAAAAATTCAAATCTTATTCAAAATTATGTATCAATGAACTTGAATAAAATTAAATGCCCTTGAAACTTTCTTAAATCTGTCATCAACTAAAAGAAACGTGTGCAAAATACCAAATTCATTGTTTTACACAAATTATCGGTATCGGACACAGCAGTATTTATTCGACACCGCATTATTCCCGCGCTTGATTTATTTAACAAATACAACAGCCTAGTCATGACTAATACACTTGCACAACGGAATGCTGTGAACCTACCAAGAAATAACATCTACCCAAAGCATAATTTCTTTCTGCCACGAAGCCTCACTTCGTTGAGCTTAGTAATCGTGTCGGCAGCAGCGCGCCCTCCACTCTTCTCATATGCTTCAAGTAGAATCGAAACAAATCCCTCACTCTTGGGATGGGCACTTAATATGGCTCTTTCAAGAACATACAAATCTACAGCTTTGTCCTCAGCCTTTTCCACCATCGAACTCATGCCAAAGTCGATTAGAATAATTTCAGACGAATCGTATGGTTCAACGACAAGCATGTTAGATGTTGTGAGGTCGCCATGTATTATGTTGTTTTTGTGTAATTTACTCAAAACAGAACCTATTTTAGTTGCAAGATTTTTTACTTGACTTGCCATCGGCACGGCCTCATCATCAAAGCATATATCGTCTTCTGCGTATTTATACATAAGATTCCTGACAGTGATCGAGTTCTCAACTCGTTCCATGATCAACTCTGAAGTGATGAAGTCAACATCATACACGATAGGAGTCCGGATGCCCACCATGCGACACCGTGTCAACGCTCGCGCTTCATTCTTCAGTCTTTCTTTGGTGATGTGGGAATCCAGTTCAGCAAGACGGTACGTTTTGGAGAATCTATGGGAAACATACTGAATATATAACTTCAACTGTAATCCATTGCTGGGAGAGCATGTATAAATACTAAGGAGTTTTCCCATTCAGTATAGTTGAGGTTAGTAACAATACAATATCATAGAGGGTATGAGGGAGTTTAATGCATTGTAGAGAAATGTAAGAATGAGATAATATATCAAGGTAAGTCATATTACCCTATCTTCATTATCTAAAAGCAGATTTCAAGTACAATTTGATGCGATTATCAATTATTATCAGAGTGAAGCTCTGTCCAACACACATGAATAAGGCTTCAGAGAATTTGAAATAGGAATAAGACCAACCTGTGCTTGACGAGTGCATTTTTTCCCAGCCATTCCCCTTCGTAGATTTTTGCTTCAGCTCCTTGGCATAAGAGTTTACCTCGCATGTTAAATAAAGTCTCGGATAACTGATAACAAAGGGAACTGCAATATTATTACCAGTACCTGAAAAGAGATAAATCATTAATAGTCTATTTAATTGTAAATCATATGTTTACACACCTCAGAAAAAGAAAATTTATCCTTAGAGGAGAATACAAGAAATTTTTAATATTTTGAGAAGCTGAAACGAGTAACACTGGTAGGTATGTCTATCACAGACCCACATGAAATAATGTAAAAATTTTACTTCAGAGCTTATAAAATTGAGCTCAATAATATATTAATATAATAGCTCATGGATTTTGATTCAGTCAAAGATATGTTTGATTCAATCATTTTAATGGCCCATGCAATGGTTACAGCTGAGACGTGAGCTGCTGTGCTCCGTTTACAACTTACGCCAGTTTAAAAATTTGATACCCTTGTGTTTGATAGCTAAACTAACTAGTCATTAGAATATTATGATTCTGATTATTATAAAGACAACTCTTTGTGTTTAATAATCGAAATTGCCTCTGTAGCAACTTAAACAGATCACTTGATGCCGATGTAAATACAGTAAATTGAAATGTTCTTTAGTTTTCATCACATTACTTTGGTTGCAACACAAAAGTAAATGAGATGAAGGGAACAACTGATTATGCAATTGCTTTTATCTTGCACTGCTCTCTTTAGTCAGGGGCATGCCTATAAGAATTTTAGTCTGACAAAAGGATGATATCAAGACAATATAATACATGTAAAAGTTGCACTCTCTGGTTGAGATGGACAAATGACTACAAACACATGGGCTGCGTTTCATAAAAATTGTTAGAAATTTGATTAAAAATATTAATTTTATGTTGTTGCATACATTGAGCATGCGAATGTTTATTGTGAACGGTGAGGACAAAAGTGACTTATATTTTCATTCACCATCTAATGTTGAAGATATTAAAGCATAGCATAGCATAGCATAGCAATCTCGGCATCAGATGTTAGGCTTCCACAGCCTGTTGCCGATTCTGTTGTGCCTGGTACTCGTTTCTTGGTCCATACTGACTGCTGATCCTTTGATCAGCTCTAATAAAGGTGGGAAGCTCGTCTACACTGTAGACAAGGTCCCGCATCTATACTAGTGAGACTGACTGGCCTATAATTACCAGGATTTGCTTTATCTCCTTTCTTAAACAAGGGTGTGACCTGAGCATCCCTCCAATCATCTGGAATAACTCCCTCTTGTAGTGACTTTTCAAAAATCATTGATAACGGAGCCGAAAGTTCCCGAGCCAACTCCCTCAAAACTCGAGGATAAAGTCCATCCGGTCCCGGTGACTTATTTGGATTAAGGGCTTCTAGTCTCCTGGCCACATCTGCTCTGTCGATCTCCACATCAGTAAGATAAGAATCAAAATGCCCTGCCTCACAAGAAGGTATGCTTGATAAGTCCTCGGTAGTAAACACACTGCTAAAAAATCTATTAAGAACATTTGCTTTCTCATCATCAGATGAAACCTTACGACCCTCATCACAAAGGTCGGCAACACTATCCTTTGTTTTCATCTTAGACCTCGTGTAGGCAAAAAAACATTTCGGGTTCTTCTTAGCATCCGCTGCCACTTTTTTCTCGTGGTCCCTTACTGCGTTTCTACATGCCTTTTTGGCCTGATTCCGAGCCCTTGTGTAAAGTAAATAGTCCTTTCCATCACGTGTTTCCATGTATTTACTGTATGCCTGTTTCTTTCTCTTGATTTTTGCTGCTACGCTGTCTTGAATCCAAGGCACTTTTCTTTGCATGACCAGTCCCCAACTTGGGTATGCACTGCTCCATAGCCTCCAAGACCCCACTCTTCACTGCACTCCATGCCCCACATACATTCATGTCCTTAATCCTGTGTTCCAGGTTTTTAATTCCAAACGCCCTCCGAAGCGCCTCATAGTCTCCCCTTGCAAAATTCCAACGCTTAACAATGCTCTTCTTCTGATCTGTGTAACATTTAACCTCAAACAGCAGGGACTGATGATGACTCTTGCCCAGTGGTGCCTGATGTCTAACGTCTCCTATCATCGCTTCCTCACTAGTAAAAATCAAATCCAACACATGCGGCATCTGTTCAGCTCTATGGTGGGTTGGTTTCTTAATATGTTGGACTAAAAACGAGTCCCTAACAGCCTCCATAAACTTAGATGCAGGGTGGCCACCATCCCTGGGCGACAAGCCCTCCAACCAGTCAATATCTGGATAATTGAAGTCCCCACCAATCAAAACATGGGACCTGCCGACTGCTACTCTAGATAAAAGTTCGTTCACGGCTGCATTGTTTGCAATGTCACTGTTAGGTGATCTATAAACTGTTCCAACTAAAAGCTTATCCTTCTTTTGAAGTGGTATCTCACACCACACTGATTCCCTTGCCTTGTCCAAACCTAAATTCAAATTAAAAAGTTGAGCACGAAAAGTCTTTGATTAAGTTAAAGTTTTGTCATAATATCTAATTACTTCATGATGTTTCATTCCATAATTTGAGGGATATTCAAGGGCATTAACCCATAAGGAAATGTGTGTCAACTCCTAACAAATGCGTGTGGTATGCATATCATTAGCATGATATGCATAACCTCAGTGGTGGTGCAGCGAGTTTAACATACCATCAGTGTGGTGCAGTATACATACCATCACTGTGGTGTGGTATGGATACCATCAGTGTGGTGTGGTATGCATACCATCAGAGAGGTGTGTTATGCATACCATCAGTGTGGTGTGGTGTGCACACCATCAGTGTAATGTAGTATGCACACCATCAGTGTGGGGTATATTGGTGGTATATACCTTCAATGTGGTGTTGTATTGTGGTACCTATACATACCATCAGTGTGGTGTGGTTTTCATAACATCACTGGCATATGATTGACTTATACCAGAAAAGAGTGAGAATCACCCAGATGTCAAGCAGTCTTACGTAATGGCTGTTGTGCTGATTTGGTGTTGGTGGAAAGTTATCAAAGTATTGGACAGCATTGTATTGTGTACAAAATACCTGACTATCTTTCATAACCTTACAATCTTAACAATGCATGAAAAAAAATCCCACATTTTTTATTAAAAATCCCTATTCTTTGCACAGGCATAATTTTTCACAGTTCTATTTCCTGAAGTAATGTGGATGCAAGATAATTTTATTTAATACTTTCAGTTTTGTTTAGTCACCTCTCCAGCTTTTCCTTTATATTAAGCTTTGTTTTAGTTCCATGCGTTCATTGATGGTTGAAATGGTGACGTCATACATTTGCGTGTCGAAATACTGCAAAAACACTAGGTCTTGGCCATCTAGTGGGAAAATATTGAGATCCAAAGATGTTGCTGACGCGTAGTGAAGTGTTTTGAGAGTCATGTGAAGGCAACAGAACTTACGTAACGCATACAGTTTTTTTATAGTTTTTCATTTCTCGATGCGTCCTTAATGTGTCGGAATATACCGCGTTTACCCTACATGTTAGCGCAATAAAATTCATGACCCACATGTGGGTCGTTTCGCAGCTGATTGCGAGATTTATCATGTCACTGCGGCACGACCCACATATGGGTCATGCGACAATTTGCTGATAAATTTATTTTACCTAATTTCCCTGTTTTACAATTCACTCTCATGTATTTTCAGACCATTCATGATGGAAACGTCTAGTATTTATGGTGATTCTAAGGGAGCGAAACATGATGAACTTTCTTCCGACAGTGATGATCCCATCAGATGACACGTTCTCACCAGAGAGGACCGATGGTTCAGAGTGTGATGAATTGAATGGTGAAAGTGATTTAGATGGGGAAATTAGTGATGACAACAACAAAGGTAATGATATTCAAGCAATAGAAGGTCAGACAGAGCAAAGTGTGTGCCTAAGTGTCGGCTCAAATAAGAATGTTTCCGTTTTCTGGTAAGGAAGAACTGTCAATCGCACCTAACCTTTCTCATGAAGGGAAGATCTGGCCTATTGATGCTTACTCCCTTTTTTTGACAAGACAACATGGCATTAGGTTAACAGGACAAGACAACAGGTATTGGGATAACAGGACAAGACAACAAGGCGTTGGGATAACTGGACAAAACAACAGGGCATTAGGATAACAGGACAAGACAAGAAGGCATTAGGATAACAGGACAAGACAACAGGGTATTAGGATAACAGGACAAGACAGCATATAATTATGCTGTCAATTTTATAATAAGTATATTGATGAATGATGATACATTTCTGATCTTCAAGCATCCCTCTCATGCGCGCCTCTTTTTTGATTATCTAAACCTCAAACATCCTTCAATCAAATTCACTATGGAATTAGAATCCAACAATTGCTTGTCGTTTCTCGATTGCAAAATCACGAAATCCGGCGGTCGTTTTCAGACTTCCGTATATCAAAAACCGACATTTACCGGCTTGGGTTTAAGCTTCTTTAGCTTCTGCTCATTTCGTTTCAAATTGAATAGTCTCCAAACTTTGATACACCGTGGATATAGGGTGTGTTCTACTTTCCATGATATGCATTTGGAATTCGATTTCATTCGTAATATATTTCAGCTTAATGGTTTTCCATCATGCCTTGTGTATAGTAAAATCAAACGCTTCTTATCTAACAAATTTTCTGAAACTGTGACTGAATGCGATAGTAAGAAAATTATTTATTGCACATTGCCCTATTTTGGTAGTGCGTCTGAAACTATGTCCAAAGAATTAAAAATGCTGTGTTTGAAATATTTCCCAAATATAAATGTGCATGTTTTACTGGTAAATAATTTCAAAATTGGTTCTTTCTTCAGGTATAAGGACGTTATTCCTGCTCGGATGCGATCAAACCTGGTCTATGAGTACTGTTGTGCACGCTGCGCATCTACGTACGTTGGAATGATGTCGCTTAACTTCTACATCCGGGTTTCTGAACACCGTGGCAGGAGCTATCGTTCTAACTTGCCTCTCGCAGTCTCGCCAAGCCTCCTCATTCTTCCGTGCACCTCCATGCTGAACAGTGCGACGTGGCTGTATCTGAGAGTGATTTCAGGATACTCGGTTCCACTTCTGGCTGCTCGGATTTGAGAATTTTGGAGTCTCTACATATCTTCAAACGAAAACCATGTCTCAATAATGCGTTTAGCTCATATAATCTGGAAATAGTAAATCGCTAGGATTTTATATTCTTGTTGTACCCCTAGGACTAAGTTGTTCATAACTAGTCCTGTTTATTTCGATATAATGTTAGGTCTTGTTTAGGTTTAATGTCTGTCTTTGAATTTTGGCTCTTAAAGTGATTTTATTCATTTTTAGTTTAGTCGAACTGATGATGGAGCTGGACTCTGAAACGTTTTCAATATCGATATGGTGAATTTTCTTGGCCTTTTCTTTGCTTTTAAATTCCTTGTGAACTTGCGATATAAGCAGACTAATGATATAAGACAGCAAGGCATTGGGATAACAGGACAAGACAACAGGGCATGAGGATAACATGACAAGACAACAAGGCATTAGGATAACAGCACAAGACAACAGGTATTAGGATAACAGAACAAGACAACAAGGTGTTGGGATAACAGGAGAAGACAACAGGTATTAGGCAATTGCCCCCCCCCCCCCCCCCCCCCCCCGTATAGCCCCTGTCAGCCACAACCCGTTCTCCTCCTGCCATCATCCCTCCCCAATACCTAACGCCGGCTACTCACCTCCAGTAACCCTCCTTTCCTCGCCCTCCAGACCGCAATAGCAATATAGGCCTACCCCCTCCTGACGAAGGCGTGTGTTGAGGCATAGTGGCAAACCAGAGATTTTTTAGAATCAGTTCATTTTTTATTTCCATTTTTAATTTCCTCATTTACTCGAGATTTGAACCAGTTTCTTATGTATGATAATGCTGGAAGCCATGATACTTTACTGGTCTACTTAATTACTTATAGGACTCAAAAACAAATTTGAGGGAGAGTTTAAAAAACTCTCTGCCAAGTCTGCTTTGCCACTATGTGTTGAGGCGGAGAGATACGCGCTGCTGCGCGGGGGGACGCTGGACACGCGCATGCACAATGCGCTCTACCGCCACCTGCAGCTGCAACCAGCCTCCCTCACCCCCCGTGACCTGCTTAAAGAGCCCCTGGCCTACGTCAGGAGGGCGCAGGTGAACTGGTGTTCATAGTGGCAAAGCAGAGAGTTTTTTAGACTCTTCCTCAAGTTCATTTTTGAGTCCTATAAGAATAAGTAGACCAGTAAAGTATCTTGGAGACCAGAATTATCATACATAAGAAATCTGTTAAAATCTGGAGTAAATGAGGAAATTAAAAATGAGCTGATTCTAAAAAAAATCACTGGTTTGCCACTATGCTGGTGTTCACTTGTGTCAGGTTGTGTGCATGAGTTTTCACTAGTGTGCATCAGTGTTCACTAGGGTGCATTAGAGTGGGGCAGAACACAAGTTTTGTAAACTATTTTTTTTTTCTTTGGAAGAAGTGTTTTGCTTCTAATTTAACTCAAAGGATTCAATTTTTTTTCTGATTAAGAAATGCTTGAAAAAATTTTTATTCCGTGACGGAAACAAGAAACCTCCTTTTAATGTGATAATATTTAACAATAGCGTCGGGTTAAAATCGTCTGCTAAGCGTCACTCTTCGTTCTAGCCCCGGCCATGTTTAGATTTATTTTTATATTTTTCTTAGTAGATTGTGATTTAATCCAGGATTTATTGACTTTAGGTTTTATTATTATTTTGTCAAAGGACTTTATTTTTTTGTGATTCTTGTTATGATTTACTGTTTTGTACGTACCTATATAAGCGCTGTTAATCTACGCATTCTACGGTATCATCGTCTAGACAAGTACGGTTACGTCCCCAACTTACGTGAGCGAGCTGGACATCTTCGAGCTATAGTACTATAAAAAGTTTATAAGAAGCCCAGTTTTGAGGATGTAATTTGTTCTTCGCCTCTGACGTCACTGATCTCAGTGACGTCACAGGCATTAACCAATTACCGAAATGCGTTCAAACCAGTCAACCAATCCGTCATGGGAAATTGGGAATGACGGCTTTGTTTACGGTTCTCGATCTGCGGGACGTAGCAAGAAAGCTGAACTGAAAGACGGAAATCCTCGTGGGTCAACCTCGTATAGTTCAACCATGGCTCGTGCCGTTCTCATGTTAAACAGAATAAGAGAGTGCTATTAGTTTGTGTTGTGTATGTTAAGCAGAGGATATTTACATCAAGTGATTGATTCACTTTTTTATTATCACTAAGGCTAAGCACTCTCAGTATTGTCTACTTTTGAAAGTTACAAAAGTTGAACCTGTGAGACCTGACGCAATAATTGATGTGTTAAGCACTATTAGCAACTGCCAAGTGTTAATTTAGAATGCCGAGTGGTTATATACATAGAATGCGATTTTCGCGCTACCAAGTATTGCTGTAGAAGGAGTTGTGATTAATATACTCAATTTCATTATTTCATGAATATAGTTAGCGTATATTCTGTGCATTTTGAACTTGAAAATAAACAGAACGCTGCGTTACTATCTGAGGAATCGCCCCCTCCCTCCTGGAAATTTCACGAGTCAGTCGTTCGTCACTTTAGACTATCAGCCACTTATCAGTCATTATTATCTCTATCAATAGAAGGCAAATTTAGAACAGATAACATCACTTTACCACAATTTTATTTAATACAGTTTTAAAATTACATACCCAATACATCCTGATTTCAGCCATTCAAGTCAAGAAGTTGTTCACCAATTATAAGCACAAATACCACCGCCGAATGCGGAAGTCTTCAGTTTTGAATGGAGTAAAGATTTAACCTCTCGGAAAAGTTAACTTTCTAATTAATGGTTGCTTCAACTACGAATTAACCAACCTAAGTTTTAAATGACCGGATAAACAATGTGAACACCTGACATGGTGCAACATGTGGCCAAAATGCTAACGATAACATACTATCCACATTTCTGGGCTACCAATATATCACTTACAAAACCATCACAGACGAGCCATAAGTTGTACCATGAAAAATATAATCTATGTTGGAATGAACAGTTAAAATATTACACAAACGACTTCATACAAGAGAAGATTCGATCAAGCCTTACAGAATGGAAGACAAAATTTGAGGGCTAAAATTCTAGGTCAAGATTATTCACTATAGCAATATTTGGAATCAAAATTAAACAGCACAAATCATTTCACAGACAATTGGATTGCATCTATCTTCCTGGCACTAAAACTGACTAAAATGTCTCGATGACATTAAAAAAGCATCTGAACTTACGCGTATAAGTGAATGAAAAATACATTTGATTACATGATTATAAGAAGTTAACAATTAATTGAAGTTTCTATAATGAAAGACGAATCTAAGGTGACTGGATAATTGGTCTTAGTACGTAGATAACCTCGTAGAATAGGATGATCCTTGTTGAAGGCTCTAGACCTGTTGAAGTGCAGAGTATTCTTCGAGCTTTATGTCCCCGTCGTCCTCTTCTGAGGGATTTTTATTTGAATATGGACGGCTCTAGTGGGAACAGGTTCACCTCGCAAGCCGAAATAATGCACCTTGATGCCCGTGCGGTGAAGTTTATTTTTGACTATGTCCACATGTCCACTGGCTGCTGGGAGGGCAGCGCTACGTCCCTGCCCCAGATCGCATGGACACTCTTGTAAGCATCCAGTCTCTCTTCTACTCCTGCCTTGTGACTACTGGTGCTGATTTTGCGAAGCGTTTCTGGCAGTGATGCCAGGTGAATGAGATCAACATGAGAGGCCCTCGTATGCCAAAATAGAGTTCAACACACGTCGACAAATTAACATAGATTTGAACGAGATTTCCGATGTTATTGTGACTATGAGTTGCATAAAAGACAATAGTTAACTATTTAATTCTGTTCTTTTCCATTAGATAGAGAGCCATAGGCGTACTTTCTGGTCCATTCGCGGGCTTTTGCCTCAAACGCGCTTTTGTTGGAAATCCATTCTTTGGCCTGAAAAATAAAATTTCATAATTAAACAATAACAATACACAACCTGCTGTATAATCATTATAAGATAGTAATATTTTCTAAGCTTGAATTATCAAAGCATGTAATGCTAAAAATGTGTCTTACTTCTCTACTGAAATTATCTCGTATACGTTGAGCACTTTAAACTGGCATACAGGTAATTTCTTAAAATTCACATTTTAAAGTTCATTAACTGTAAAGATTCTGTGCGTTATTGAAAGTCAACCAAATTTTTTCATTAAAATTGCAATTCATTCTGGAACCGATGCCCCGTAGTCAGAGAAAATTTTTGATCTCTTTTGGTAAACTCATAGGTTCACAACATGAAGTTCTCAGAAATAAATCATTAAACCGAAATGATGACGGTATTAAATGAACAAAATTTTTCTCCATGAATATAATTTTATCGAGATAAGTGTAATATGCAAAGAAAATAAATGAAGGAAAGGAGCACTACTCGCGACCTCAGGCATGAGAGGGTCGGAAGGAGCTTACGATCTCAGGCATGAGAGGGTCGGAAGGAACTTACGATCTCAGGCATGAGAGGGTCAGAAGGAACTTACGATCTCAGGCATGAGAGGGTCGGAAGGAACTTACGATCTCAGGCATGAGAGGGTCGGAAGGAACTTACGATCTCAGGCATGAGAGGGTCCGAAGGAACTTACGATCTCAGGCATGAGAGGGTAGGAAGGAACTTACGATCTCAGGCATGAGAGGGTCCGAAGGAACTTACGATCTCAGGCATGAGAGGGTAGGAAGGAACTTACGATCTCAGGCATGAGAGGGTCAGAAGGAACTTACGATCTCAGGCATGAGAGGGTCAGAAGGGTTGGGGGCCAACAGCAGCTGGCGAAGTGATGTCACCAAAGTTGCTATGTTATGAATTGGCCGCCATGTACCTGGAGGGAATAAAATTCTGTCAAACATTTAGAGCAACAGCGTATAATACAAAATATAAATGAGAAACATTCGGAAATAGTAGTGATTAGTAATAAATGATAACCAACTTTCAAATATCGGAGACAAAATGATTGCGCAAGCCAAGATTTGAAACTGTTTTAAGAGTGACAATTATAAAGAAAAGATTATAAAGCATCAAGTGATAAAAAAGCACAAAATACAGTGATGGAGTTAGAATTTATTCGATCTTGTATGTTCACAAAATTCTACATTAGTCTTCATCACTATAAACACACAAGACATAACAGTCCTATTATAAAGTCATATAATTCACCACTCGGAGGAGACTTTAACAGATCCAGGCAGATGAGACCAGCGCTGTCAATGTTAGGATGATAGATGGGCGTGACCAGCTTGACTTGGGGAGGCTCGAAAGGGTAACTGAAAGAAGTTGAGGATACACACATATATTCAGAATTTAGTTAATGGTAAACTGGTGTGATGAACTTAGGGAGGTTTGAGAAGTTAATAGAAACAAGATTATTTATATCCGCACATGCTCAAATAATGGTGATACGTACATGGGTGTGATGAGCTTCATTTAAGAAGGCTCAAAATGATAAATGAAAAAGTAAAAAATACACATATATATTCAGCAAATAGTCCTAAGATTATGAGCTGGACTTTGGGAAGTTGGAGAATAGAATAGAAAATATGGTGCTATGCACTTGAACAGAGCAACTAGAAGTTGCTACCAGTAGCAGATGGAATTCTAGAACAGGAAGACATTGAGTATGATTTTATAAACCATCGAAATGAGTAAGTACAAGGTGGTTCCAAGTAACACGACATTGAAATATTTATGCAAGAAGGAAAAAAAAAAGATAAATAGAGAAAAATTACTTATTCATAAAATGATTATGGAATCAAGTGTTATTTTGTAGCAATGAATTTTATTAACAGAACTAAGGAGCACAATTTCCTTTACATAACCTGCATTATTGATTATAGCAAGTCATGGTCTTGCCGTGATGGTCATTTACTTTGTGTCTTTCTTGATTTCCCACATAATACTGTATTACCGTAGTTTATTTTGTTTTCTGTAAGCTGCGAGGCAATTCAATGACAACTTTTCCCTGCAAGTATGCAACTAATTGACAAATTAAGTAGTTAGACTTTGAGATCAAGGTGTCCATGGCATGCCACCACAAGAAAAAACTATTAGATGGGCTACAACAAAAAGATTAATATATAGGAACAAAATTTGTTAAAAAGTGCACTAAAATTCCATACCGTTTCTTTATCAATATTTTGTTCAGCTCCATAATTTGAAATAATACATTAATAATAATCTTCCAGTGTTATTAGTTGTGATGAAGATCAATGAGAAGATGAAGTCGGCCAAGATGCCATGGTACAAGCAGCATAGCCCTGGTGCAGTACACTTACTTGGCGTGCAAAATGATGAGGACTCTAAACACTCCTTTTTCATATGGTGAATCCTCCAGACTGTGAATAGCTGGAGAGAATGAAAAATTTAATAATTAGGTGCAGGCATAATTATGCTGTATGGCTTAAGCTAGAATTTAATGAATAATATATTACTACCAATTCGAAATAGCACAAAAAATATTTTGAAATTCAGTAGGTTCAGAGATTACATTTTATGCTATAGGGAAGAAATGTTAAAATGTAATAAAATGTACTTATACATTAAATTTTAATGACATAACCAGAATCAATTACAAATTTACTAGCATCAATTATGTGGAGCTCAGAAGGCCGCTGGCTTAGAGTAATGCCGAAGTCTGGGTTGCTGTTGAATCTTTGAAGCTCTTTTGATATTCTTGAATGAACTCTGCCTGCAAAATTAAAAGATTTCATCAGACATAGGTTTATACTAGAAATTTTAAATGAAGTTCATTATATTCATACGAGCTTCAAATTTGAAGAACATATTTTTTATCATGAGCAACATCAAATTGAAAATGATCCAAGTTGGGTGAGAAGTAATGATCAAAGAGTAAGCAATGGGCTCAGGAGATAATAAATTAAATAACTATATAAATTATTTGCACAATGCATGCCAATTCCTAGCAACAAAGAATCTAAAATAGCCATACTTACATACATACAAAAAATTATCCTTTTTTCAACAGTAAGATAACAAAGCTTTTTAAAACAGCAATCAGTTAACAAACTTCCTATTAGTCATCCATTCAAAAAGAAAAACTAGTAATTTTAATGGCTTTGACACATTATGTATTAATAATAATTGAGCTTCCATAATCACATATAAAATTATTTGAAAAAATAAAACATTGTAAATATATAAATGAGAAGTACCTATAGCTTAATGTAAATACACACTACATGAAATTACAGCAAGTGGACTAGATGCTATTTTTATATATTGATTCAAGTTCAATCATACCTGGTAACACAACATTACTGGCTTTGCTTGCCATTTTTCCTTAAATGATGTCACCGCAATGATGAGTTATTTTTAGTACCACAATGAAGCCCAACCAAGTAAAAAACTTTAAACAAATGTACCTACTAAAACGAGCAAATGAGCTTAGTTGGAAAATTTCAGTTTTACCCACTGCATTAGAATTTTACAATAAATTCAGGTAACAAATTTGCCAAATACCAAGGTTCTAGACTTTTGTAGTTCTGGATGGTCATGAAAAGAAGAAATAATACAAGTTTTAGCCAATGTAATACAAATGAAATAGATTTAAGGGGGTAAACACAGATAAATTTGGATCATCATTTACAGCTACTGTAGTGTCTGGTATCAGGTCTTCATGCATGAATATTTACTCTAGCAAAATTAAAAGGCTTGCAGTGAATACCAAGCACCAACACTTGGATTCTGCTTCCTCATTTGCAGCCCGGAAAAATCTCAAGTGTAAATTATTATTGTTAATAAGCTTAATTCTGCTTGAATTTAAGGTCAGATATGATTAAATTTAAATCTTTCTTTTTAACACAGTATATCAAATACAGTATATAATAATCAAACCACTAACAAATCATAATCAAACCACTAACAAATCATAATCAAACCACCAACAAATCATAATCAAACCACTAACAAATCATAATCAAACCACTAATAGGGACGGGCGGGGTAATGAGAGACAGTCCTCTGACGTTTCGTAAAAATATATAAATATAAAATATTGCAAAACTAAAAATAGTGGCATAAATGATAAAGTTCAACATTTTTCAACATGTAGCATAAAGCAAGTTAAGAAATCATACATTCACTACCTGTAAAAAATCCCTGAAAAAAGTGTGAAAAGTGAGATTTTGGAAATGTACCTCTGTTAAGGTCTATAGCAAAAAAAATATTTGCCATATAAAAAAATTTTACTTACATAAAAGTTGCACACAAGAGTTGACTTAAAAACATGATTGACAGAATTGGCACATCTCATTAAAAAAAATGGCAGCCAATCCAGCCATTTCTGCAAGACGGGGTAACATGGGTCATGGGACACCCCTAAAAATGTATTACAGTAGAACTTCAATTACCTAGCAAAGGCCCCAGCCTCCAGTTAACAAAAAATCAATTAACAAAAAAAAAATGTTGATTATATTTACCTTGTTAAAAAAAATTCACGTCATGATAAATTAATGCATCATTGGTCATCACAAAATTGTGTAGAGGTGTCTTAGATAGAATTGTGCACTGGGCAACATAAAATGAAAAGTTGTTATAGTGAATTCACTTGACTCAATACCAATTAAAATGGTGTGAAATTACAAGCTGTCCTGTAAGCTTACAGCTACAGAAAAATGCTGTATATCAGTATTTGGCAGCAGATATTTTTTTTATAGTTGGGGTTAAGACTTGTGGTGACAAATGAGCCCACCAGCCCGAAATCTTCTGCAGATATGAAGCTTGCAGATGCAGTGGACCTGAGTGAACAAAGTTGTTTTAAGCTCTCAATGGCATGTTCATGGACACGGTAATATCACATCAATAATACGGTAATGTATGGATATGGTAATATCATATCAATAATCAAGAAAGGAAACATGGGCAAAAATCACAGAAATATCATTTTTTTTCTACATCTACGTCATCTACAAAGGAAAAGGAGGACTTCAGAGTTCAGATTACTGTTAGTAATCAATGACTACACTCCACATGCTTCAAATGTTTTAAAATCAAATTTTACTTCAAGTGTCCCGGATTAGGTACCCCATTCCCAGGGGTAATTCGGGACGCTTTTAATTTGCGTCTGGCGTTTTACGAATAGCACATGGAATTTTTTGGAGATGCCATTCGATAGCCCTCACAAAGAGCTTTAAATGAGCCCAAACTTGTTTATGAAACGTTTCATGGTTATAAGTTATTACCGAAAAACTCTCAAAAGTCAAAACCGTCCCTCGTTTGACGTTATCAATATGGCACTGCAACAATGTGACACTCGTGGTTCTTCTTCTTGTTTGATGATTACTGGAGCTTTGGAGACCCGTCCATGTAGCTCCATGTCTGCAGGGGGATTCAGTTGTTACAGCAGTCCCACCAGTCTATCTAATTACTTAATGAACTCCCCCACCCGCCCCCCTTTCATGAAATGCCGTGAAATCATAAATCAACGTAGAGAGATGGCAGTGGTACCGTTGGATAGGGCAGAATGTCAGCTTTAAAATGAGTATAAAAACCGAAAAAGTGGAAATTTTTAATTTTAGAGTAGACGCTCCCCTTAAACTTTAAAGCATTATAAACATTATGTCAATTGATCAGCTACAGCACATAAAATTGGGGAGTTATATGTCAATATCATGTTCAGGGAAATATTTTGCAGAGGGTAGATCAAGGGACAACATGTTTCAAAATAAAACATCATTTAATAATATCAGGAGATGCTAGTGACTAGTTCATACTAAACAGAAGATGCCATTAATATACCGTAGCTAGGCCAAATTACCCAAGTTAGTAACTAGAGGATGCCCTACCTTGTGCCACATACAAGAAACCAGACTCTATGTGAGGGTCCAGCCTGGGTGTCACAACCTGGAGCCTCTCTCAGCCAAATGTGGCTAGTGCAAATAGTATTTGATGCAAATAAGCTAACAAGATGTCTCTCTTATGGGCAGGGCTCAGAAGGAGGCAAGGGAAAAACTGCTTATCTGGTGGAGGCAAATAGAGGCACCCTTCACATAGGCAGTCATTACAGCATTCAATAGATCTGCGCAGAGCACCTCTACTTAAACTCCTGGATGCACCGAGTGGTGCGTTTGTTGAAGATTGAAGATGAAGTTAGTTCCACAGAGTGTTATTTGCAATTAGTATACTAGCAATTGTTAGATGTGACAGGCAAAAGTTGAATAGAACAAATGAGCAACATTAAGATAGGTTGGACATACTAAATTCTATTCATTAAAACTACATTTGCTTCAGGGCATTAATTTCCTTCAGGTATTCAATGGTAGCTTTGATTATTTTCACCTGTGTCTCAGGTGGGAAAGGGCCTCCCCCAAGCAAATTTTTTACAAATTGATCTATGTTGAGCAAGGTTAGTGTGTTAGAAAGGTTAGTTCAGGCCTGAGCATGCAAATGGCAGTGAAGTAGCAAGTGATCTATTGTTTCTTTATGCTGGGCACAGTTACACATGGGGTTATCAATCATTCTAAACCTAGCTAAGTGTGCTTTCACTCCAGCATGACCCGTCCTAAGCCTAGCCAGTGCTGTCTCTGCCAGCCTGTTTGGTTCAGTGCCGAAGGCCAATTGCCTATTCTATCTTTGATTTGATGAAGGAAAAGGCCCTTTCCTGAAACTTCAGTACCATTTACCCACTCTCTTTGCCAGTACTCTAGCAAAGCAAAATGGATATCTCTCACCGTTTCTTCCTTTGACCTGGGAGTAATTGTATGATACCAAAGGGTGTGAGCCTGCGATGCTGCGTGGTCAGCTGCTTCGTTCCCAGCAATGCCCTGGTGACCCGGAACAAACTGGAGCTTGACATCATGTGAAGTTACCAGCGCCATCAGCCCGCTCTGGATCTGGAAAACAAGGCAAGTGTATGTTTGGGGTTTCCTGTCTTTAATTAGAAACAGTGAATTGAGGGAGTCTGTAAAAATGACAATTTTTTCTTGATGTCTGAAGTTGTGTTGTGCCCACACCAATGCCTCATGGATGGCAAAGAGCTCTGCCTCAAGAACTGAGACTTCAGGACAAGTTTCCAATTGAGGAGTACACCTCTAGAGGGCACAACCATGGCTGCTGATGAGAAGGGCATAGGTTTGGTGACTCGAGATCCATCAGTGAAGGCTGCAGTGAAGTTATGAAAACGTGTCTGTAGAAGATCTTTGAAGATTTGTGAAGCAGAGTTAGATGAGAGGTCTGACACAGGAGTTGATGCAAAGGCTGTTAGGATGTTGTGTTGGATGTTGTACCAGGGAGGGAGTGGAGAAAGGAAAGGATATCTCATTGGTGTGGGGAGGGGCAAATTATGTTCTGAAAAAGTGGCTCGTGCAAGAGCAGTGAAAGATGGTAATAGGGAAGGAGATGTTGGAGGGCATGGGTCATTTCTTTCCGCACAGAAAGGATCATTGGGTATGCAGCACATTGGAAGTGTGGCGAGTCTGTGGTAGTATCGACACAGGAGCTGTTTACGGTTGATTGATAATGGAGGGATGTTGGCTTCAACTTCAAGTGAGCAAATTGGAGTGGTTTTCCTACACCCAAGTGCAGTTCTAAGGCAATGGTTCTGTATTGTGTCAAGTTTTGAGAGCAGTGTTTTGGTCCCACAAGCATAGAAAGGGGCCGCATAGTCTAGTCGATTGAGGACTAGAGTTTTATATAGTTTTAGCAGAAGCTTGCGATCTGCGCCCCATTCCTTGTGTGCAATACATTTTAGCATGTTAATAATAGGGAGACATGATGTTTTGAGAGCTTCTACTTGATCCTTCCAACGTAATCTGGGAGTGTCCAAGGTGACACTAAGATATCTAAAGTGTGAAACAATTTCTATTGGGTGACTGCTACATACAAAAGAGGGCAGTTCTACCTTCTTGTTAGTGAAATACATACGTTTAATTTTGTCAATGTTGAGTTTAAGTCCCCACTGACGAGTCCAGTTGCTGAAAGCATCCAGTTGAGTTTGAAGCCTGGCTGATGCCTCTCTAATGTCAGAGTCACTGGCAAAGAAGGTGACATCATCAGCATATTCTGCGCATTTCACTCCTGGGACAGATGGTATGTCATGCATCAGAACATGGAAGAGGGTAGGGGAAAGTATAGCTCCATGGGGAACTCACGAATATATTTTCCTCATTGATGAGAACTCGCCCTCAAAGAAGACTTGGAAGCGTCTATCAGAGAGGTACATTCTCAGCCATCTCAACATAGCTCCCCCAACACCACATCTGCTCAGCTTGTACAAGATACCATTATGCCAGGCTGTGTTAAAGGCACTGGTGAGGTCGCAGAAGATGGTCACCAAAACTTGCCTGCTGTTCAGAGCATCTCGAATCGCAGAGGTCAGTCTAGCCACCTGATCAACAGCTGACACGCGAGCACGGAATCCCCCCTGACTTGGTCGAAATATCTTGTTGAGTTCCAGAAAGAAGACTAGTCATTTATTCATCATCGATTCCAACAGTTTACCTGTACATGAGAGCAGGGAGATGGGGCGATATGAGGATACATGTGTTAGGGGTTTGTGGGGCTTTGGGATTGGGATTATGAGGGCAGTTTTCCACTCAGTTGGGATTGTGCTAGAGGAGAGGCTTTCATTAAAATGTTAAGGAGCCACAATTTATACTCCAGTGTAAGATTTGATAGGTGTTTATTTTGAATGTGATCTAGTCCAGGAGATGAGTTTTTTAGATTAATTAGACAGTTTTCCAGTTCATGTAGTGTAAAAGGCTGATTTAAGGAGTCATCATTGTCAGAGCTCAAGGAGATGGCTAGAGGGAGCAGTACTGCTTCTGGATGAGAAGTTGGTGGGGGCAAGTTGAGAACTGTTTGGTAGTGTGAGGCCAGTGCATCTGTCTTCATAACTGGGGTCTGGGTCAGCAATCATGGTATCATGGGTTAGGAATGGCTGGGATCTCTGATGAAATGGAGTGTGCAGGCGTCTGATGCGTTTCCACAGGAGACTAACTGGGGTATCTGATGTCAAGGTGTTACAATAATTTTCCCAAGATGTTCTCTTGGCCATCCTTACCTCCAATTTTACTTTTGCTTCGCATCTCTTGAACTGTATTAGGTGTTCCCTGGAGGATTGTGAGAGTAGAAGCTATTTGGCAATTTTCTTATCTTGAACTGCTGCTGAGCATGCTGGGGTCCACCAAGTTTTGTTGTATTTAGGGGTGATTACTGATCTGGTTTGTGAGAAGACAGTAGAGCTGGTTGATATAATGTTATGGTTGAAATTATTGACACTTACTTCAAGGTCTGGTGATGGGTTGTACCAACTTGGTTGATAGCTGCTTGCCACTGCGACCAGGAGCCCTCTACAAACTTCCAGGTAGGTCATCTCCTGTATTGAACATGTGTTGGCTACACTCCTATTGTAGTTAGAATAGGGTAGTGATCGCTCCCGAGATCTGCTAAGGTTGAGACTGAGGAGATGGGCTGCAGATCAAAAGTAATAATGGTGAGGTCCAGTGTAGAGAATGAATTTTGGCAGACATCATAATATGTAGGTAGTGCAGGTGGGGTTATCAAGGCAAAATCAGGGTATTGTACTAAAAAGTTGTGTAAGTTTTTGCCTGAAACATTGTAGGCATGTCCTGGTTCCCACTGAGGGCTATGAGCATTAAAATCTCCTACAATTAGGGAGGATGGTTCTACTTGATTTAGATAATGTTCATATTCAGGAAGTGATATTGCTTTGTTTGGGTTGTATAAGTTAATGATTGTGATTGGATGATTATTCTGCAGGATTATTTTTACTCCCTGTATCTCTAAAGAAGCTGATATGAAAGGCTGCAGAGTAAGGTCTAGATATGATATATCGCTTCTTATAAGAATTGCCAGGCCACCAAACACTGTTTCACCTTCCCTATGCTTATAGATTGGTGTATAGTTAATGAAATTAGGTTCATATTCTGCTGATAACCATGTTTCATATAAGCAGATGAGGTGAGGTTTTGTGCTGTATATGTGGAGTTTCAGGTTACTAAGTTTATTTCTTAAGCTTCGACAGTTTCATTGCATAACGGTATTCTTATTTCTTTATTGGAAGGCATTTAGTTAAGGTTTCCTGTGGCTGCAGTTTCTTGTTGGGGGTGCTTGCTTCTTTGTTACTCTATTTTTCATTTAGGTTTGGGGTTGCTCCTCTTCCTTTTGGGGTGTTGATGGATTGTTTTTCATTTTTTCTTTCTCGGCCAATGATTGGGGAGGGTTCAATAGGTACCTCAATAACTGTAGGCATCAGTGGGACTGGGTTCTTCTGTGGTCCCGGGCTATGAATTCTAGAGATTTTGTGTGGTCTATTTATTACTTGTGCTCTATTTCTGTCTATTGTGGGTAGTCTGTCCATAGAATTACTGAGGTTGATTACTGGTGTCTGCAATTGAGAATCCGTTACCACACAGGTATTTTTGTCATTGAAAGTAGAGGGAGGTATTTTATTTTTAGCTGTGTCTTTAATAGTTCTGCTAGATGTCTTTGGAACTGTTGGATTTTGTGTTAATGTTGTCTGCGTAGGGGCAGCAAAGGTTTCCTCTGCAATCCTAGTAAGGCAACCAGCAATATTCAAGTTGTCACTGTTTTGGCAGAGGTTTACAAATTTAGTTAAGAGTTGTATCAATTTGGAGATAGAATTTTCTGGAGGACAAAGGTCTATGTGGGTTGTTTGGGTAGAAACTGAAATTTTCTCTGGTCTCATTTGTATGCCCCAACTTCTGTGTTGGTTAGTCTGAGGTGTGACATCCAAGTGGGGTTGGAAACTCTGTGATGCCCTATTAGTTTTGCTATGGGTTGGGTTTGTGGTAGTGTGTTCTTTGACATGTTTTACATCATCTCTGTATGAAATTTTTTTCAACTGAATGGGTTTTTTCCACCAGTGCTTCAAATTTCATACAGGAACATCCCCGTAGCTGGCTGTGTGCACCTCCACAGTTGCAACATCTCAGTGCTTGAGTTCTAGAGGAAGAGCAGTCCCTAACACTGTGAGGGCCTCCGCAAGCAACACAACGGGCTGGACCTCTGCAGTCACTAGCATTGTGCCCAAAATTTTGGCATTTGAAACATTGCCATGGCTTACTGACATATGTTTCCACTTTGAAACGCTGGTAGCCCAAGTATACAAAGGGAGGGAGAGATTTAGTTGCAAAGATCACTTTGAACATTGATGTTGGGACCCTATCTCTACCTTTGTGTATTCTTTCTGCTGAGGCATCACAGTATCCCGCCAGTTGCAACTCATGAGTTAGATCCTCATCTGAGGTCTCATTACCAAAGGGACCTATCACACCTGTTGACATTACTTGATTGAGTGGGAGATGGCATTTAACCTTCCAAGTCCCATTTTCTGTTGTGGAAAGGAGCTGAGGTATGCATGGTGCAGATGGGTTATGTTTTCCCATGTTAATAATCACAAGTCCTCTACTAATGTTCTTTGGCATTCCCTTTATACCAATTTTACCAAAGTACAAGTTAGCTAAAGCTTTACTGAGAGCTATGTCATTCACGAAGAATTTTGATACTGGGCGTTCATCTGGAAGAGGCTCCACAACAATGACATTTTACTGACATAATAAGCTAAGCCCTAACTACCTAGCTAAGGCCCTAAGGGAAATTCAAGCAGGGAAACTTTTCAGTAAATGAGTAATCAACCACTAACAACCAATGGAGACTGGATGTTATAAACAGTGTATTTGTAATTGTAGCCTAACTTGAAAGTATGGTAAATTGTGCACCTGTTGAATAACCGAACTCTTATATGGCCAATTGCATAACATGTTTCACACAATTGAACGAAGACTTTTATACAAAATATTACACATTAGGTATATGAAAATAACAAGAGCTGTCTAAGGTCTCACTCCAAAAGATGGCAGTCAAAGTTGAAGTGAAATGACCGGTTACTGAAATAACGAAGAAAGTAAAAGTCAATCCATAAGAAGTTTGGCTTCGGATGTTGGCAGACTGCGAACTAATTGAGAGAAAATGAATATCGCTATCGGTGGTCCCTAGTCCCTACGGAGTACGGGCCTACAGTCTACACACTACACCACTCAAATTACTGGCATTACCTTAACAATGAACACTCGGGGGTCGGGGTTACACTCCTGGAAGGCTGGAGTCGCAGACATCACTCATCAGACAGTGCTGTCTCCGATAGGGCCATGAGTCTCATGACTAAGCAGGCAGCCCCATGCCCCATTCATATTTCGAATGAGGCGGGATGCAGAATTGCAGATGAGATACGAAGTCTCATGTTGACGACAGATGAACGGTCAGCGAAGCACGTTTACTATTTACTAGGCAATAATACTAGTTTTACCGTTTATCATATCAATGTAAGGTGAAAATGTATTAAATATTCTGTAATAGCATAAAACCAAAACCTCAAGTTCAAACTTATCGTCAGTCTTGCATGACCACGCAAAGTTTTGTTCAAAAAAGGTTACATGAGTAACCCCGGTAACTATCGCCCTGTCAGTCTGACAAGTGTTGTTTGTAAGGTAATGAAACCTGTTGTGAGGGATAGGATTATCGATCACTTGTATACTAATGGTCTGAGTAGGAACGCGTTCAAGAAGAGACTAGATAAAGCTATGGAAAAAATATATACTTGATAAGTTGATACTTGATAAGTTCAGTGTAAAAGGTCTTGCGGCCTGTTCACCACGCCTGGTTGGGGGGTTGCTTCTTGACTATTCGGCCTAGTTGGGTTGCTTCTTTACTTGTCGCATGCGTGGCTAGCAGTTAGTCTAGAAATGCCAAAAGGGGAGCTACTGACAGCATTCGGGGTCGTACCGTTCTCTGCGTGTTGCCCAGTGCTTGTCGAGCCTGATCTTGAAGGCGTTAATAGAGGGGGCAGTAACGACGCTGTCCGGCAGGCTGTTCCATATTGACACGACTCTGTAGGAGAAGTAGCCGGCTCTGACGTTCAGTCTGCAGCGGCCCTTGGCGAGTTTCAGGCTGTTCCCGCGGGTATCTCTGCCGTCGTGAAGGTGCAGCTGGGGGCGGTCAGCTTCGTAGGCGCCGTGGACGTACTTGAAAGCGCCGATCATGTCCCCTTAGTCTTCTGTGCTCCAAGCTGGGAAGACCGAGCGAGGTGAGGCGTTCTGGGTACGGCTTGTCCTTGAGGCTTGCGATAAGCTTGGTTGCCCTCCTCTGAACGTCCTCCAGGTCGGAGCACAGAGTCTTGTGCCTTGGCTGCCAGACTGAGTGGCCATACTCGAGCATCGGTCGAACGAGAGATTTGTAGAGCTGGATGAAGATCTCAGGCGTGATGCAGTCGAAGGTTCGCCTTATAACACCCAGTACTCTGTTTACCTTAGCTGTTGCTTGCGCTACTTGGCCTTTAAAGCTCAGGTCCCTGTCGATCTCTACTCCTAGATCTCTTTCGGTGTCGCTTTCCTTCAGTGGGGTCACGTACTCTTCGCCTTGAGCATTGCAGCCTCTCATGGTGTACTGGACGGTGTCGCTGGCGTATCCAAGGCGAAGCAGGTTGCACTTTTCGGGGTGGAAGCGCAGCTGCCAGTCCATAGACCACTTGTGGAGTCTGTCCAGGTCCTCCTGCTGGGTTTTTCTTGCCTCTGGGATGTCACTGCGGGCGAAGACCTTTGTATCATCTGCAAATAGCTCGATGTGGCTTCGGACATGGCGCGGTAGATCGTTGATGTACATCACGAAGCAAATGGGCCCTAAACAGCTTCCCTGCGGAATACCGCTCCGTACATCTGCTGGACTTGACGACACGCCGTTCACGATGACTCGCTGAGTACGGTTTGCCAAAAAATCTCTGACCCACTGGAGTACTCTGCCCTTGATGCCATGAGCCTCCACCTTCGCTACAAGTCGTCTGTGCGGCACACTGTCAAACGCTTTCATGTAGTCCATGTAGACCGCGTCGATGGATCCTCCTTCGTCCAGGGCCTCAGTCCAGATGTCTAGGGTCTCAAGGAGCTGGGTGACACAAGACCGCCCCTTGGTGAAGCCGTGCTGCTTTCTGCTGATCAGGCTATTGCGCTGCAGGTGGTCGACATATATATGTTCAGACTTGAAATGCCTAGCACCATATCGAACCCGGTGGAAGTCTAGTAGCTATTTCAAATTATCGTCAGTCTTGAAAAGATCCACTCAAATAACACGATTTTAGATCTTCTGTGAACAAGTTACGAAAAGTTCAAGAATCGGCGACAGGCCACACTATAGTAGGCCTACTCGGCTACTCCTTAGCGCCGACATCACCATGTTACCTATGTTATGAGTTATAACAGACGAGGGACGACTGGTGCAAGTCCACACGATTCAAACTTTAGGCTCAAGGTAAAAGCTTCCTCGTTATTGCAGGACAGTTCATTGATCGCTACAATGATCGGAATTTTTACTAACAAAATTAAATTTGTGGGATGTAGGTTGCTTTTGAGAAGAAAAATCGGTCATGTGACTCCGAACATTCCAACTAACGACTCTTGGCTACTCTGATAATTTTGGCGACCAGAAGTAACGAAGACATCGAGCACCCAATTATAATTTCCCAGTAAGCTTTTATTAAAGTAATAGCGAGTAACTGCCAGGCCATTTTCGACGTTCTGAAGACAAATATCGCCGGACAGGCGGCCGGTTTTGTGGCCGGTTCCACGGCCAATCTCCAAATTCAGTGACCAAGAAATATCTCCCAAAGTAATGAACACAGCTCGATGAAACTTTTTACACGTGTTCATTATGATCTAACGGTGATGTTTAGCACGTGAAAAAAATTCCATTTCACCTTCATTCGTGAGTTATAGAACAATTGGTGCCGAAATTTGCAGTGACCAAGAAATTTCTTCTAAATTACTGTAGAGATTTGAACGAAAGTTTGAAAATACAAAGCTACCAACGGTGATGTTTAGCTCGTGACAAATTTTCCGATTTTACTCTCTTTTCGAGTTTTTATTTTTCATTTCACCCTCATTCGTGAGTTATAGGGAAATACAGGCCGAAATTCGCAGTTACCAAAAAATTTTTTCTAAATTACTGAACAGATTTGAACAAAACTTTGAATATTACAAACCTAACCTCCCAACGGTCACGTTTAGCTCATGTCAATTTTTTCGACTTTTTCTTCGATAGCGAGATATACGGCTATACGTATAACTCGCGGCTATACGGCTATACGTATCTTTGTCAATGCAAATTTACAATCGGCCTCAGTAATGCCTGTCGTTTCTCCGCATGTCCGTATAAGGGTCACCTGCCGAAGACCACAACTGCCCTGGATGTAATGGACCATCATGATTCCTGCCGTCCGGAACGTAGCCTTCAACACTTCAAGCCGTCCGTATCTAGGCGTGGGTCGAACCAGCCCTCGGTCGAACGACACATCGTCGAAGGACGATAAATTTTAGAACAGAACTATGCTATCTGAAACCTAACCTCAGATGCGGTGAACGTAAAATTACGTAATTTAACGATGCCCGGAAGTCAGATTCGATCCGCGGCCTGGTGGTGCACGGCTGGTGGTGGTCAAGGCCGGAAGAGGACAAAGCCGAGTGGTACACGGCTGATTGGTGGATATCCGGAGAGATCCAAGGCGTTCGATTCAGGGCTTATTGGTGCACAAAATTGGTGGTGCACGGCTGCGCTCCCCCGTATAACTCGCAAAAGAAGGCAAAATCGAAAAAATTGTCACGAGCTAAAAATCACCGCTGGGAGGTTAAGTTTGCATATTCAAAATCTCGATCAAATCAGTTTAGCAGTTTAGAAGAAATTTCCTGGTCACTGTAAATTTCGGCCTATGTTGCCCTATAACTCACGAATGAAGGTGAAATGAAAAAAAAAAAACTCGAAAACGAAAGTAAAATCGAAAAATTTGTCACGGGCTAAACATCACCGTTGGGAGGTTAGGTTGCATGTTCAAAGTTTCGTTCAAATCTCTACAGTGGTTTCAAATGAATTTCTTGGTCACTGCAAATTTCGGCAAGAATTGCCGTATAATTCACAAATGAAGGTGAAATGGAAAAAAATTCTCGAGCTAAACATCACCGTTAAGTCCTGCTGAATACGTGTACCAAGTTTAATCGAGTTATTTTCATTAATTTGGGAGATATTCTTTGGTCACTGAATTTGGAGATTGGCCGTGAAACCGGCCGCAGGGAAAATATCGTATAGTAAAGGTCAAGTTTAGGTGTCAAGTTAAAACATGTCTTCATGGTTTCAATAAAAAAAAACGGAGGATTTAGAATCTTGGGACAACGCTTTTTCAGTGCTGTACAAACTAACATTGTATATTTGAATAACACAATTAAAAAGAAAAGTTGTGTACTTATTAGTTTTTGTTCCTTTATAGTGATGAAACCGTTTTAGACTATTATTAAAATAGAAAAAGCAAATGATCACAGAACTTTTTTCAGTAGGATCAGACTTATACAATTCCGTCTCTTTCTGCCTGTGTTTCCCAAATATTATCATTCATTATCATTATGTCATAAATGCGCTAAGCTTATCTAGCGTCAGTCATTAAATGTGGGTCAGTTAAATATCCGTGCTGGGCCGTTGCCGTTGTGTTATGAGTGAATCAGCTGTTGAACATGCGCCTATACGTATGCAGCCTCGAGTCGGTGGTCGCATACTCGCAGTCGCTGGCGGACTCCCATGCGGTTGATGTGGAATCAATCGTTGCTTCCTGAAATGACTTCATAAAATTTAACTGCATTCGTGGATATTAAGTGGCTAAACGTTGTAGGTAGGTTATTCACTTCATCCCATATTGTCTGCGTGGTTGATTTGAAAGCTAGTAAAGAAATTGCAACAGTTTTTTCTCATTATCATGAAATGGCTGCTCTCTCTTCGGCTGCGGCTATGCGTTCAAGCTAAAGAACCCATGACCATTTTCACGGCCCCATGTCACGGCTAAGAATAGCTCATTCAATGACTCATTTGAGAAGAATCGAACTATTATGTGTGAGTACTGCTTATTTAGATATCTTTATTTTCTTTCGTGTGCGTATCTTAAAACGGGGGTTTTTAATTAAACTTGTTCGGAAGGGGGGGTATATTAGGGGGTAAGTGTTGCGAGAGCCGTGAACAAAGAGAGGAGGTTGATCGGGGTGGGGGTCTAGCCTCGCACCGGCGCTCTCAGTCATGTGCGCGCTCTTGTACGCAGCACACTTGCCTGATGTCTTCTCACATTGCCCTAACTTCATTGCTGTACTGTCCTCCGTGATGATTGCTGCGCTTTCAAGCTTATTACGAAGAAACACTTCTGGTGCAATGCTCTCCGTACTATATGGAAGGGCAGAAGAATGACTTTTAAACAATTAGTACGTATGTTATTAACTGCAGTTCTATTTTAAGAAATTTCTTGACCGCCCCGGAACTGCTAACGTCACCACGGTGATTCAGCTTAGGAGTTAGGAAATAGGTAGTTCGGCTAGACTGGGACATTTTGGGTCCTGCTGCATTTTGACGCATGATTTTAAAATCGCATTCCTAGTCATCGTAATATTTTGGTCGGATGAATAATAAATAATTCTGGTTTTAATTTAATAATTTTGAAGAGATGAAGCTATTTCCAAATCTTAATATTATGGACGACTTGATTCGTTTTGATTGCTTTGGTGAATCTGATGAGTTGCAAGAACGCTGCCTCGTACTAAGTAGGTCATGTGCAAAGTAGTTGTATAGGTGGTGAATGTGGCTGGCTGAGGGATCAACGTAGTGAGTGGCGAATGCCTGAGACTAGTTTCTGTCGGTCGGTGGGGCCGTTGAGCGAGGAGAAAAAGAGAGAGGGCGGGGGCGTAAGCCAGGGGGGGCGATAGGGGCACTGAAGGTGTGGGAATACTCGAGCCTCTTTAACTGCTGAATCCAAAATTAGAAATGTCTTTTTTGTATAATATATGCGTTCGTTTTAGATTCTTGCTTGCCTACTTGCTGTCCAGCGTTCAATGCTTGCGACTTCACGCTAATGAAGCTGCATGTGTTCTGTCTTCGAATCTTGATGATATTTCATTTCATGTGCGGTTGACGAAGAGATTCGTTAATTATATATAATTTATTAATCATTAACTTGTTAGTGCCATTATAACGTTTTCATCCAGGCACGAAAGTTTGAACTTTTACGGATTTTCTATACCTAGTTCAAATGAAGGCGTTAGAGTTTAAATGGAGGCGTTAGAAATTAATCATACAATTCTGTAAGCTCATGAGGAATAGTGAACCAACATTTAGGTTGAAATTGAAATACTCTGTGTTTATAATCGACGAGAATCTGCTTTAGGTAATTGTCCCATGTTCCTGGCAGGGTTTTTGTCGATTAAATCAAATCAGCTTGTCGGTTAAATCAAATTAATTATTTTGTATGAATTAATTGAAAGGTTTTAATGCTATTCGTTTGAGACGGTGTGGTAATGCAAAGTGGTGTTACAGTTGAGCGCATAATCACGTGGTAAACTCTCATTCCTAATAATTGGGCATGACTTTCCAATGTACCTCATTTCTCCAGCTTTGAGTAGAAGAATTAGCATATGTCTTTGTGTCGAACTTATTGAATGCGTTAGATTTATCAAGCAGTAATTACTTTATTACTTAGGTCTAATGGTTTGTGTGCATGCCTTGCCTATAGCAAGAATGACTTTTTGTTCATGCCTTGACTGAAAATCTGTCCCTCTCTTACACCTGAAATTCTCTGGGTTATTTCTTTTTCCACTCGCTTGTTTAGTCCAATCATTAGATCAGATGCATTTACGGAATGGTTTGTATTCATCTGGCGATCGCGCGAGTACGGGCTATGTGTAAAAACAGAAGATCGCGTTTTATGAAAATTGCATGGTGTGCATGAATAATTATTAGATTATACATGACAATAGTTTTAGCTCAACGCAAGTAGTTATTCATCACGTTTACTGTTGATCTAGAGCTCGCTCAAACATCTGATTGGACAACGGTGGTTGGGAGCGACTCTCTGAAGGGGGTTACTACCTCCCACTTCTCCCCATTCTAGCCTCGCTACTGCCGCTGCTACAAAGTTGTTCTTGGGCGGTGCAATTACCGCATTATGGTATGGGTTCTGTCTATTATTTATTTTGTTGCAATACTGCGCCAATGACAAAATTATGTAGTATTTAATGCTGCCTTTTAATACGTCCTATATTAAAAAAATTCACGTATTTGATGAAGCCATTCTTTTGAAAGATCCAAGGCATAGACTGATAGAGTACAATTTAGAAAGTTACTGAAGTGTCCCTTGTGCGACGTAGATCTCTTTATTAGCAGCTGTGTTGTCTGTCTGTTGATGGCTTCGAATTTATTCTTGATCAGCCTTGTACGCTCAAGCTTAGCTTGCAATATAAATATGCCGCTACAGTTTGAACTCGAAATTAATTCCAGATTACTGAACGTTGGTGCCAAATGGCTGTGAAATTGATCTTTCTCAGCAGAAGCACTTGTGAGCGGGTAACTTGTCCAACCAAGGCAGTAGCTCCCAAACGTTTTCACCTCATTACTGGATTTATTACATCATTATTACATTATTATATATTATTATTACTATTATGTATTATATTATTATTATTATTGCACGATATCGATGTTATAAATGTTTCAAATACTCGCACATTACACCACGTCATGACCGCTATGTACTACAGATTTAATCTGCCTTCCTTTTTCTACCCATTTATTTAGTTATTCATTCATTTTGGTCTCGGTACTTGAGTCTTACGTCCTCTCGTTGTCGAAAAAGTTAGCAATCGGAATGATACATTTAACATTTATTGACTTGCCGTGAGTAATGGTCAATTTTAAGCAAGGAACGATTCATACATGGATCCACAAATTACGTTGGTCTATCAGTCTAGAAATAAATTAAATCAGTATTCCATTATTTGTTATAAATGCTGACATTTCTATTCTTCTGTGCCCTTACTGAACTTAAACGTTAAACCTCATTACAGTTCATCGTCGGGTGGCACAATGTTGAGGCAAATCTTGTGATCAAATACGGCCGCATCATTTGCATGCTCATCAATGCTCCATTCCTTACGATACTCAGTAGAGTGATTCATTTTACTTATTTTTATGCTTGTATTTACATTTTGCTTAAATTTGTTTCTTCCTTAATATAGTTATTACTAAATATTAATAATATATACTATATGTTCAATGCCTATCGTTTAAGCCTTTCCTTTTTCAGAGGTAGGTCGCATGTCGCTCAGTTCACGCAATGTACAAATTTACGGAAGTGTCTCCCGGTGCGCTGTTACTTGATCAAAACTCAATGTTGTCAGAAAGTGATCCTGCTCAAAATAGTTTATTCGGTTGCTCCGATGCTGAATTTACTGCGCAACCAAACGGAATAGCGCCTGGGAATCCCCTTCACAGTTCTGCAATTGTTACGGAGGATACGGAAAGTTTGATGATGAGTGAAATACACCGAAGTGACGCCGGTGTGATGGAGGCTAGCCATGCCACTCCGCTCGACTCCGTTTCCGATGGTGAACGAGGATCTGATGGCGAAAAACTAGATGATGAAAATCGGGCCGGTAGCGAAAAACGAGGTAATGACGATGAGTGGAGAGCCGATGGCGAACGACAAACAAGTGACGAAGGACGAGGGTCTGGTAGCGAAAAAGAAGAAAATGGCGATGAAAGGGAAACGGAGAGCATAAAACAAGGAAATGACGAGGAAGAACGAGATGATCGCGAAAAGCAAGAAAATGAATATGGGCGTGGCTCGGGTGTATTTGATGACGTATGTGATGCCTCTGAAAATCGTGGTGACTATACAGATTTTATTGAGGAGTCTGTTCACAACCATGTTATGGCGATGAGCGAGTCAAACAACATTGGCAACGCCGAGCCTCTTCGTTGCAAATCTTATTTAGAAAATGAAAAGGAATTAGAACACATTAGTCTTAGTGAATCGCTGGACGAAAGCTTGTCTGCCAAAGAAATCAAATCCCACACGAGCGACGATGAATTAACTAGTCAAATGTCTCCTGGAGCTGCGAATAAGGATAATTTTGACAATACACGAATGTCGAGTCCAAGGGAATCATGTGTTGAAGATTCAGCGAATGCGAATGTAGAAATATTGAGGAATGCCAAAGAAGGGGATTTCAAATTCGTAGATAATGACAATGAAATGGAAGAACGGATTTCAGGTGTCGACGTGAAGACACACCCTAATACCGATGCTCAAGATGTTTCAATAGAGTCAAACGAAGTTTCAAGTTTAGAAGAAGGAAATGCTCCTGTCGAGGACAGCTGTGGTGAGATTTGTAGTGCCAATGAGGAAAGCCCTGTTGGGAATACTGAGCAATCGGGCACTGAAGTGGGTGAAATTGAGCAAATCACGAACTCTAAACAGGAAGACCCGGTAGACAAAGAAGATGGTGAACTGGAAGAAGGAGAGCTTGATAATGATGGCGATGAAGAAGCACAAACGTTATCTACTGACGCAGCTCCTGCAACTTCAAGTGTGGCTGCAATGGCCGTAGATGAAGACGAACGAGATGCTGCTAGTATAAAGGTCAGTTTCCTATCGTTTATTTCTTCTCTGATTTATCAATCATCTAAATTGATGTTGTACGGTATTCAAGTGTCACATATGTTGTCAACCGAATAGATTTTGTTGCAGAAACCATATTTTTTGCGTAAAGTTAGGTATTTCAGCAGACGTGAGCCATGTAGTCGCTCAGCATCTCGTACTATACGTTCCAACACGTGTGCCTGCTGCCATTAGCTGTATGTACTCTAACCTTCGTTGCACCGCCATTGCAGATAATGGATAAAATTTCAATGTCTTTTGATTTTCAAATCTGCAAAAATACCGTGGACCCTAATGAGGAAGTATATATCCCCTTGCTTCTCGTAAAAGTATTAATCTGTGAAGTGTAGTAAAGTTAATAATTTAATTTGCAAAGGGTTGAATTTTTTTATCCTGATGACCCTCCAGGTTCCTGAGACCGAAGATAAGAAACGCAAAAAAATCCTCGACGAAGTTGCCGAGCAGCGGCGCAAGAAGAAGAAGCGAGAACACTTCTTCGAAGACGACGATGAAGGTGTAAGTGTAACACGGTACATGTTTGTTCGTTCTGGGCATCAGCCAAAAATGAGTTTTTTTTTTTCATTCATTGTTAAGAGCGTAGTTTATTGCTTTCAATAGTAGGATCACTCTGCAACGGTTGTCATTTTGTTTTATTTTTCCCACACATTGTCTTATTGAATATATGTAGTTACAGAATTTTTTGCGTAAAACTGCTTTCCCCGTATATTCGTGACCAATCTGCGGATACATTGATAGACGTCCACGCTATTCGTACCAAAAGGCTTTGCAACGTGAGCTACTGTTGTAAACAGAGTAAACAGATGGTTAAACGGAGTCAACTCCTGAGGAGCAGTCATCCAAGTTATACTTGAAAGTTCTTCACATGTGTTTAGGTGCACTTTACATTAAGAATTACCGACATTAATTACGACGATAATTTTCCCTTCAGTTCAGAAAGCGGTCGGACTTCGACGCAATGCTGGACCAGTATCGACGGCAGGCTGCAGGAGAAGAGATTGACGAACGACCGTTCAAATTGGGTGAGATCCTTGTTCAAATTATCATAGGATAGTGGTTGTGAACTAATGCGTGATGGCATGCATCAAGCCATCAACTAATGGGTGATGATACGCAATACGCATCAACTAATGCGTGATTACAAACATCAACTAATGCGTGATGACACGCATCAACTAATGGGTGATGATAGATTCAACTAATGCGCGATGATACGCTGCAACTAATGCGTGATGATGCTCATCAACTAATGGACGACGAAGAAAATAATTTTTGCAACGTCGTTAATATATAAGAAACGTACACTGATAGCTTTATAATGTAGAAAAAGATACGAATAGACGGTGGTATTAAACCAACAGTGAATCGTAGGTGAAACTAGTAGCCTGCAGTTAATGATGATTATTCTTAAGGTTGCGATAATTATGGATTAGTAAATAATTATTCTTATAATTAATTAATAATTATATAATAATTATTAATTAATTAATCAATTAATTATCGATAATTGTTCAATTGTGGATTACTTAATGTAAATTTCAAGAATTCATCATAAAATAAATTCATGGAGAATGTTCAGTAATGATTACTTTCTAATACCGCAGGCTACGACGAGTCGGGCAGGCACAAGAGACGACCCGACGCCCGCTCGCCGCTGCTGCCGCCCAGCAAGACAGAGGCGCTCTGCGTCCACTTTCTCGAGGGCACATGCAATAAGGTGGGTTTTGGCCTAAATAAAAGGCACATGCAATAAGGTGGGTTTTGGCCTACATAAAAGGCACATGCAATAAGGTGGGTTTTGGCCTACATAAAAGGCACATGCAATAAGGTGGGTTTTGGCCTACATAAAAGGTACATGCAATAAGGTGGGTTTTAGCCTACATAAAAGGCACATGCAATAAAGTGGGTTTTGGCCTACATAAAAGGCACGTGCAATAAGGTGGGTTTTGGCCTACATAAAAGGCACATGCAATGAGGTGGGTTTTGGCCTACGTAAAAGGCACATGCAATGAGGTGGGTTTTGGCCTACATAAAAGGCACATGCAATAAGGTGGGTTTTGGCCTATATAAAAGGCACATGCATTGAGGTGGGTTTTGGCCTAAATAAAAGGTACATGCAATAAGGTGGGTTTTGGCCTAAATAAAAGGTAATGCAATAAGGTGGGTTTTGGCCTAAATAAAAGGTAATGCAATAAGGTGGGTTTTGACCTATGAAGGCCAAAAGGGCAAATAATGCCGTAAAGGCTTCAACCCTCGCAATGTTGAAGACAAAAGTCTTACTAAGGGTGCAATAAGGTGGGTACTGACCGCAAAGGTTGCAGCCTATTCTGCCTCACTACCTTGTGTGGTCAGAAGTGCCACTAAAGAGCACATACACGCTGTCAAAATTAGATTGGTGGTAGAGGTAACACGCATATGCTGTATGTTGCATTTGGCAACAAGGAAAAAACCTTTCGGCTGCACTGATTTATGCTGAATTCATTGCAGCTCAAAAACTGATCGCACTTGACTACTGAGATATCCACTCCGGCATGATCACGAAGCTGAATTGATTTTTATCGACCAACCTGAACCAACCTGCTGACATAAAAGCTTAACATAAGATTAATAGTTAAAAATATCACAAAATTCTTATCTAATCTAACAAAATCTTCGAATATTCTCAACCACTCGCATACCTTGAATTATATCAGTCTGCAGAGTAAAGACTGCCATCACCTAATCTTATTTTTGTGCAACTATGCTTGACATGTATCTATTCAATTGCAGGGGAACGACTGTCAGTACTCGCACAACGCCAATCATTCGCTTATGATGCAACCGCATCAGCGCAAGATGGAGCTCTGCAAGTTCTACCAGATGGGCTGTTGTGCCAAGAAACAGAAATGTCTGTACATGCACAAAGACTTCCCCTGCAAGCTGTACCACACGGGCATGAAGTGCGTGCCGTCTGATAAGTGTCAGTACAGCCACGAACCTCTTTCTCAAATCACCAAAGCCATCCTCTTAAAAGTGAGTCCCTGTTCCAGTGTGTTTTATAAAGTTAACGTTCTTATCAATACAAGAAATTAATTATCATTTGGCAAAAAAAAACACTAGTTTTGGCTAGTCTGCATTTCCACTGATTTATTCTGCAAAAAAATGAAATGGTCATATCCATCGTCAAAGTTGCAAGTTTTCTGGGAGTTCAAGTTAATGTAAAATTAAATGAGGCCCATGAGGCTTCAATAATATTTTGGGGTTAGGTATCTTGTTTACCGGCGATATTGTAATATTCCTACTTAGGTACTTTAAAAGAGCCTACTTAAACGTGCATCAGGAGTGTGTTGACGAAAATTGACCCTGTTCTACTATTCCGTTGAGTGAACAGTTAATCTACTAGAAATTACACGAAGAACGCTGTTATTTTGATGAGCTCAAATACTGTGATTGGTTTGATCATGTTGTGAACGTGATCAAGGTTGCGAATGAGCCCATAAAACCTTTCTATTTCAAATATTGCGATTCAATTGATCTAATTTCCCTTTCAACTCAGCACATCGAGATGGCACCCAAGGACATCTTGGGCACATTTCCTCGTCTAAGCAACACCGCGGCGCAGCAAATCATCGCCGTCACTGAGATGTGTCGCAACAAGAAGCCTTGTGACATCAACATCACGCCTTTGATCCGTGAATGGAGAGCTAAGGGATTCAAGTGTGAGTTTTGCTACGGTAGTCCGGAGGAAAATCATTCCATTTTAAATGTAATGAATGAACTTGAACGTTTTAAAAGGTCTGCGAGGTTCAGCCTCCGTTCTGACGTTTACTGACTGCTTACTGATTACGTTTCATCTGACGTTGCCTACCTGTTTAGTCAAGACTTTTCCTTCTGACGATGATTGCAGACTTGGTCTGTACTTTTCTTATGATGTTGCCACAGACCAAGTCCATATTTTATTTTTATTCTCAATCTAGACTGAGGGCTCACTAGATATTTTTATCCCCAGATGTTGATCGCGCCATAAGGTCGCACGATCGCAAGTGTCGCAGAGCTCAGTCAGAGTCGGCGGGTGAAGAGCCGCGCCCGGCCAGCGGAGGAGAGGACGAACCCGCCGCTCCTGCCGAGGGCGCAACGAGCCCTGGGAGTCGAGCGACGAGCTCGTCTCGCCAGCGAGATAAGGAAGACCTCGAGGAGGAAGAAAGTAAAGACGAGGACTCTAGAGCGCACAAGCGGAGTAAGAAGCATCACCGCAGCGAACGCTATGAGAGTGAGATGTCTTCCAATCTTCGTGAGAATTGATATTATTTTTGTTATGTTACTTTAAATTATGCCTGGTAATCAATAATAGCTAGCTGTTTTGCTCATTAAGATTTTTTAAATGTCATATTAAAATCGCAATGAACTCTGAATCTGCGTGCGATGTAAAACGTTTATACCTTACCCAGCGCTGTTAATTGAATGAATTTTAATATTGATATGAATGGGTCAATGCATTGCTGTTTCCCATGCTCACAGGCAAGGAGGGCTCACTGTCTCGAGGATGTGTAGATCCTCGTCCGTACAAGCATCGTCATACGGGGCGTGACCGACACGACATGAGACGACGGCACCGAGGGGAACCAAATTTTTGGGACAAAGCACAAGATGAGGAACCAGACAGCCGAAGTGGAAGTCGGAGACGTGCAGCCTCGAGGTGGGAGGAGGACAGGGATCATGGACGCTCCAGGTCCCCTGTGTCAGGCTCTCCCAAGTCTCACCGTGGTGAGGGCTGGGGCGGTGGGGAGTTCGTATCAGACGGCGGGGATAGTTACGGGAAGAAGTCCTCGTATCCGTCGGGGAGAAACGACAGGAACAGGATCTCGTCCAGGGATAGACGAGGCTGGCAGTCAAGCGATGATGAGACGGGGCGCCGCCACCGCAACCACGACGCCGACCTTCGTGCATCTCCTCGGCCTGATCGGGTGAGCTTTTTATCGTTGCTAAAATTAAATACATTTTCGAGCTATGATGAACATTCAAACTTAGTTCTCTGTTTTTTACTTATTGTTAATAGAGTTGAATTCGTTTCACGATCCATAATTTTGCTGGAATTACTTGCATTATCGTGTAGGCTATGCATGTATAACAAATTTACACTTTCATCAGTGTTTTGTATCACTAGCGTTGATGATGGCTTAGCTGAATCGGACCTATTAATTAAATTCTATTCGTTCTTGCACTTTGCTTTTGAAAAACTAAAATACTTCTGACTCCGACTCTTTATTTTGATTGAAGGAGCTTTTGACAGATGTTTCATTTCACGTTCACTCAGGAACCGGCCGAGAAGAACCATCCGCGGACAGCAATTGCAACGGTCATGGACAACATCCCATCAATGCTGGACTCGTTCAAGCGCAATTCGTCGCGGTCGCGTGGAAGCCAAACTCCGGAACGAAGTCCCTCAGAACTTGGCCATGTGAACCAATCCGGCTTAAGTAGCTTTCTTGACCGCTCTTCAGACAAAATGTCGCACACACTTTCCGATAGATTCGACCCAAACTTGTCAGGTAGAGACAAGCCCGATGACTCTAGATCGTTTTCAAGTTTTCCTGGCAGATACGATCCTCTTGAAATATTCCGCAGGCAACAACTACAAGAGTCCGTTTCTGGAATTGACGGCCTGGGAACTGGAATGTGTGACGGTGTCATGGAGTATTCGCCTTACCTCAAAAATTTCAAAAAAGTCCCCACGGCTGCGATCGGTCCCGTTGCAGATATTGACGCACGGCTGCCTCAGCCGTTTGTTAGGTCTCCTACAGAAGATCTCAGTATTTCTTCTAAAGTTTTTGTAGGGTTAAATCCAGATTGTGGCGATCGCAAGGATTCCACGAGGGACTCTGACGGACTTTCTACAAAAGCATTTGAACGATCGCCTCCTTCAAACAATTTAGCGGCTGACAGCTCGTCTAATTTAATGCTCAAACTCAACTTGAGTAACATCAAGGTCCCTACAGATCTTGCACAGGTCTTATCCTCTCTCAAAAGTCAAACCAGGTAAGTTAATTAACGTTATAATTTTATAGTATACTGTGATCCATTTGTGCTAAATGCGTCTGACGTCTATTAAAAAGTTTAATATTTGGTATGATCTACATATTTGCAGGAACGGTTACGAATATTTATTAACTTTCTTTTTCAGATTGTCAAAGGGGGATTCGACTCCTGCAAAACTACCGTCTCAGTCGCCAACATTTAATGAGAATTCTTCAAAGAATTCTCTTCATAGCGACTTTTCTGCTCTTCGCGGCTCAGTTGTGCAGGATTCACCGTACTTGAAAACACACAATCTACAATCTTCACCTCCCATGTACAAAGATTTTTCGAGTTTACGCGACGATCGGCGCCAGCGATCCTCTGCAGATCACAATCCTCATTGGAACGATGGTGTGGATTCCACCCGACATGGTTACTGGGGTGCTCCTGACGGTAACAAGGATTTCTCATCAGGGAGACCTGGCTTGCCATTGTCTTCCTTCGATGCGAGTCGCGGTGATAATGACCATTTACACTCCAACTACCGGGACCCGCGTCTGTCCAAAGATTCCAGTTTTTCGTCTCATGGTATCTCGTCAAGAATGGAATTGACTCGCTCCACCCGATCTAATAGCGACTCAGATGATCGGAGTAACGATGCTGTTGTTGACGTTGATTTAAAACGTCTGAAAACCACAAGTTTATTCAGTACGGAAATGCCTTTCCAGGTCCCATATCACGACCCGGTCACGGTTGTGAATGCTTCAATTACCGCTCATCCTCCCATGCCATATAGAATGTTCGAAGTTACCATCCCTCGTGTTAACCTCGATAGCATTACTAGTCGTTTTCCCCAAAATCATGAGAAGGTTCAGGAGGATCCGAGGCTATTCAAGATATACTTTGGCACGTCAGATCCCAGTAGTAAGAGCCTTGGCGCTGCGGTCGTGGAAGATCCGCAGTCTCCAACTCCGGAAGTGTCAAGCCCGCCAACGTCTGAAAACAGGGACCCGAGAATGAACCGTGACCCTAGAATGTTGGACACACGAAACACTGATCCAAGGATGAATGCTGATCCCAGGGTCAACCCTGATATAGAAAAAAATACTGATCCAAGGAATCGAAGCTTCGCAGCTTCAATGAGCGGAACTTTAGATTCCGATTTACGTGTGAGCACCAGCGAAGTGAGTCCAGATCCACGAAATTGCGATCCGAGTTTGGGTACTTACAATGATCCCCGACTTGAAGGTCGAAGAGGCGATCCAAGAATCAGCCACCGAGACCCTCGGGCCAACAGACACTTCGATGAGGAATCTTTGAATAATCCTCAAGTGGGTGATGCCTATCCCGTCAGTCTACTTGGCAGCGCGCCAAATGTCATGGGTCATTACGGTGGTCATGTCATGCAAAACATGGGCGGACCACCTTCTTCGATGGGACTTATGAACGGCGTGCCAAGCATGGGGCCAGGCTCCATGACAATCCCTATGGGTCCCGGAGGAATGTATCCTCAGAATATGATGAACTCCTCTCAACCTCAACCCATGGCTTCTGGCATTAATCCATACGCTGCAAGGTTTGGAGGAATGAGTCCTCACCTCGGTGGAATGATGGTGCCTGGAATGGGTGACCCATCAATGCCGCCCCTGCCGTCCCATAATCTCGGACAATCTGGTCAAATGATGGCCATGAACCCCAACGTCACGCCCCACACAATGCATGGCAACTGGCCTCCAACTGCAAGTCAGAACAGTGACCCTAGGCTCAAGAAAAACTAATTTGTTCTGTTGTATTTAAAATGAACCGAGGTACAGAAAAGCTCAGTGATTGCTTCCCACATTAAGAAATCATTAAGTATTCCAAATCCCAATATATCAGTTTCCGGCTTATAGTGCTCGCACGTGTTTAAAGATGAAACCTCTACTATTTGGGTCATCTCAATTTTTGTTTTGAGCATCATAATGTGGTAATATTAAGTGACTTATTTTTTCTTTCGGGCGATTATTTGGTTCTGCTCATTCGTATAATTTTGACGCGCCAATAGCAATGTAAAATTAATATATTGATGATCAATTGCCGCCTTCGAACTAGAAAATGTCGAGTGTTCAGAACGATTGGTTCCGTGCAATGAGTGCTTTTGTGTATCCATTTCTTGAAATTCAATCTGTGACATTTTATTACAGTCAAACGAAATCTCCAACAAATGAACTGCCTTAAGCATTTGCCTGGTTTAGTACGGTCAGAGTAGCTCAAAACAAACTCCATCGAATTAGTCCTTATAATGAACATAATTCAAAGTACACCTAGATGACATCAAACGCGTGAAAAATCCTGTGTTCGATCTGTCAAAAGGCGTGTTTATTTGTTCCTACTTGTAGTAAACTTAATAATTTTGAGATTTCGAATTAAAATTTAAATTTCTGGGTTAATGCCGTATGAAATGTTTGCTCCGCGCTTAAATTTCACAGTGGTAAGAAGATTTTTAGGTCTTTACAATAATATGAACATATGAAGAAAATCGTGAAGAATGCGCTCTAAGTTCCAGCTGTGGTGATGTTACTACAGCTTCCCGTCTCGATGATTTCGACATTGGTTTAATTTTTTTTAATTATTTAAGAAAGTTTTTTTAAAGTCGTCGTTATATTGTGCACTTTTCTTCATCCCCAGAAATCTGAATTTTTTATGTGATTTCAACTTATTTAATTAATTTTTTATCCTTTTGTAATCGAATGAAGAAATTTACTGTATTTTAATACTTATGTGATTTTAAACAGTTTCATTATATTTTATTAACGTCTTGATCTATACACATCATCATTTCATTATTTATAACCTATTCTATCTTTGTGTCCAAACTTACCTGAATCGTTCTCCTGGTTCATTGAATTGTTTATTCGCATTTAACTCTTACAGCGATGTTGAGTGAGTGTGAGGTCGTCTTCTTATGTTTAACAGGCTAATGCTTATTATATATTTTATTCCTAAACTTATTGAAAAATAAATAAATTGTGGTATTTTCAGGTTCACGTTTTTTGTATCGGTGCTTTCACCCTCTCTCACTGATCAGCGTTGTCATTGTTGCGCGTGCCGATGTATGAAACCGATTAATGATAAAATTGTATCGGAATGTTGAACGAATTCGAGCCACTGGAGACAGTCTTTAGTGGGGCCAGCAGAGCGTTCCATACAAATAAGTGATGTGATTGCTCAAGTTCTACATTTCTTTAGATTTGATGGTATGTTATTTTTTATGACAATTTCATAGTTTTTAACTCAATTGCTTCAAGGGCTATTGTTTGTGATTTTAATGCTTACCATAAAGTTGGGCTTATTTTAAGGCGTTCAGAATTTGATTATGTTGATCCTAGCGCGTGCCCGTAACGAGGCAGGGGTCATAGGGCATTAGCTATTATCTCCTTGGCTTAGTCCTTTGCCTACTGATGGTAAATTTTACCGTCTGTAATTGTAGTCTACCAGGCCTACACGTACGAATAGCATTGATGACGGGTAATTTATGTGTAGACGAAGAGCTAAGTTGGTGCCAAACTTTGTAACTGTGTTCGCTGCCACATGTACACTTTCGTGAAGATCCTCGTTTTTTTTTCTTAGTGATGTACATTGTATGCTTTTAAATTATGATAATGTATATATTCTCGCTCAATTGCATATAGGTTGTTAAAATAATAAATATTACCCTGTAAATAAAAATCTTATTTCTTTCCGTTAAAATCTCTCAGTGACGCGTGATGTTCATTTACCTAGGGCTACAGTTTAATTGGATCATGATAAATACTTTGACGGGGATTTTAATTTAGAGATTATTTATCATTCCTCAAACGATTATTTACGATTATTATTGGTAAGTTATGAAAGCTCTTAAATCTAATTATGATTAATTTTAATAACTCACTTAACTCATGAATTCTTACGTAATTTTCACGTTGACATGCGATCTTAAAGCAGCGACGGCATACACGTGCCAAACGAAGCATTGAAATGTGCCTGAACTTGAATTCAACTATGGTGGTAACAAAAATTTGAAGACGTAAGTCTTTGACGGGAAATAAATGACGTAATAAAATATGAGCAACTTTGAGGATTTTTCGCCTTTAAATCTTTTCACTCTAACCGCCTAATACATGTAAAGTAGCGTGGAAATGGCTGAAGTGCTACCAAAAATGTGGCCACTAACCTAAACTCGTCAAATAGATTATTTGAAAAGTAAGATGATTCTTGACAGTAATATTAACTGAGGCATTACTAATACCGAATCGACACTTCTCTAAACTCGCCTTCGGCACAACCTAACTTTTCGCTCAACCATAACCGAACCACTCGTATATAACACCATCGATATTGAACGGATCTGCTCGAAATTTTGAATATAAGTAGTTATTATCAATGCCCTGCGATATGAATAATTACAGATTTTTACCGTTACATCGTTTTCAATTAAAATTAAAAAAACGCCATTTGCAGGCAACCGTACGACCGATGTGTCAATTCGGCGAGTTATGACTTGTGAGTGTTTTGGCTGCCTTGATATGGTGTTTTTTCGCTTGAATTGAAGACGGAATGATGTAAATATCTGTAACTTGTCCTATCGCAGGGCATTGATAATAACTACTTAAATTCCAAATTTCGAGCAGATCCGCTGAGCATTGAAGGAGTTATGTATGAGTGGTTCGGTTGAGCGAAAAGTTTGGTTGAGCTGTTTTTTTTTTTTTTTTTGAGTCCGCAGGCGGGTTCGGAGAAGTGCAGATTCGGTATTACTAACTGCGAGGGTCGCGAATTGTCATTCCTGAACAAAATTCTTTATGACAATAAATTTGTCATTTGACGTTAATTAGTGGCCTGGCACACCGAATAAAAAAACATGAGAGCTGCCGAGGTTGACGATGACGGTAGAGCCCATGGTTGAACTAGTAGAAGGTTGACCCACGAGAAGCTCAGCTTTGCGGATGGAGTTTGCTGTTCCGCCTGTGACGTCACTGAGATCGCAAAACGTAAACAATCAAGTGTGTCACTTTGTTTTAATGCCATTTTTGACAGTATTTATAAAAATTTGCACCTTCTCAAAATTCCCCCCAAAACGTCAGCATCTTGAAATAGTCTTCATCTAATCATGTAGAAGTTTTGAAGCGATTTGGTCGCAAGGAAAAGAAATAAATGGGACGTAAAACAGCCAGGGTCGCCTACTACTTGCACATCATGATTGGTGAAGAGCCAGTTATATTGGCGGCCTCTCCGCTCAGACGATGACGAAATAAACGATCAGAAGATGGCCGGGACCGGGAGAAGCCCGCCGGTCTGTAACAGCCAACACAAAATTCAGCAACACATTTATAGTTCAACCATGCAGATATACTATATAAACTCGTGTCAAGTTTTTCTCCCTATTCCGTTTCGATGAAACTGCAACCAACACAACTAACTTGCTAGTTCAGTTACACCGCTAGGCCGCCAGTAGAGAACTACTCATTCATTTTTATCACTATTCTTAATTTAATTCTTTCATAGTCTGACAATAATTTTTTACGTGGTTACAAATCAAAACATTCCTGTAAATTTGTGAATTTTCTTGTTCTATAACATTAGTGTCTAGTTGAAATAATCGAAATTATGTTTTGTCTGCAGATGATAATGACTGATAATTATAATATTGCTTCATTGTCAATAATAAAAGAAGAAGGATCAATCATCCTAAGCTTGAACAAAACAAATGAAGTAAATAATTAGATGTGTCTATTGAGAGCGGCAACAAATTTACCGCGCGGAAACAAAAATTTCAATGGATGAGTGATTATGATGACACTATTTGCATAACAACTTCCTTCTGCTAAGTGTGTTGACGCCGATAAATGATATCTATAAAGATATTACTTGGGTTCGTAGACCAGAGCTGTCAGGATGAAACTAAATAGAAAGAGGCAATGTTTCGAATTCAAAATTGAAGTGGAGCGTATCCAGAACACGGAGCATTTGTATCACTGACAAAGGTACTATTAGTCACGGTCTATTTCAACAGGAACTATTATGCAGCCAAAAGTATGTTTAATTATGTCTTTCTATAGCATGAATCTCTGGAGCAATGCGAATCACTTGATTGATAACTCATTCTACCGATTTCCTTAAATTTTGATGCAACTTTATGTTCTGTTATGACTGATGAAACAATGACGATAGATTCCACAGCTCGACAACTCCACAGCAAGGCAGATAATTCTTTTATATCCCAGCTTCGAGTAATCAAAAATTCAAAAGGGAATTTCTCATCGCCTTCAAAATGAAACGCCCCATTTTTTTTAGCTGCTATATAGATCGCAGGTGGCCCTTGAAAACAATTAGAGGCGGCTGATTGTTTGATGGTTGATTATGGATGGCAGCTCCATGTATATCGTTACTGCAAGTTGATGGCTGGTGACGGCTGATTTTTGATGACTGATGATGATAAGAGGCAGCTGATTGCTCTCTTTTATTATATTGTCTTGGCACCTGCAAATTTTGCGTTAGCAATTAAAAAATCTTTGTGGACACAATGTTCGTTTTTACAAGAAACGCTGATAGAAAAATTAATTGTAAATAATAAACGATTAGGATAGAAATAAAGTCTCATTTGTCATTGGAAACCTAATAAACATGCGGCCTGTAAAATGTTCCAACTGGTCCTTATTTTCAGTTAAACTATTATTATTGCGTGTCAGTTACTTGCATACAAGTGACTCGGCGGTTACCAAAGGAATTACTATTCATTTAAAAAATAAATGAAAATTTGCCGGACTGGAAATACAGTAGACCAACAGTGACCTTGATAACTGCGAATGTTCGTGACAAAGTCTTTAAAAGAAATAGTCTCTGAAACGTCCCTGACGCCCGAACCTCAGAGGCAGCTCACTGTGATCTCAAAGTTCAAGGAAGCCACGTCAGGAATTCGGTTCGGACTAAGGGTGGAGTCACTTCACTGTTTTGTCATTTACAGCTCATAATTTGAAAAGTGCTTTTTGCAGAGTGTGCTTGTTGTAGAAAAATTTAAATATTAATCTGAAGTAGATTAATAAATTTTCCAGATAAGTCTGAATAATATGTTAACAAGTAAAGAAACTTGTTAGAAATGTTGATGTCAGATCGAGTGTTGAAGCCATCTATTCAAGCTAAAAGATGTATCAAAAACTTGTATTCGTTTTAAATACTGATGAATTTGTGACACTGCAAAAAAATAAGAGCAATCTAATGAGAAATGTCTCTCTCGCTCCCTAAATCACGACTATACATCGGATAATTATTATGCATTCATATTAAACTTGCAAATCATAACCTTGAACTAGCCCCTATGATGCTTGTCTTCCATTAATAATTCGTGGTAGCACTACCGATTGAACCTGATGCTATTCATGGAAACTCAAAATTTTCGGACACATCATCGTTGAATTGGCTTCAATAATTTAACTTGAGCAAGAATCATTTTGTGGAATCATTAGTTACGTTGAGATCGACTCTTTAAAAATTAAAAATTTATGGTCGTTTAAAATTTCCCGTTCCTTGTCATAATCGCGATGGCCAAGCCTTTTATAATTTTAAGATAGAGACGCAGTTTTTCAATATTCCAGTTTGTTTTTAATTTTGCAGTTTCGGCTTGAAAAGCACGTTAACTAAGCGCACTTCTTATCTTCAACTTGCTGCACTTGTACGGGGTCGAAGTATTATACGGGTTTTCGTACAGTAAAATAGCTCAGCATATATAATGGTAGGAACATCCAATAAAATCTCGCCGCTGTTGTTGCATTGGCCAGCAAGGGGTGCCTTTGTAGGTTACGATGTGTACCCTGAGACACATTCTCGTTGATATTTTGTTGGTTAGAAGGTAAAGAGTCAGAGGCCACGCATATAAAGAGGCTTGCCTGGGTATGTAACAGCCTGTATTTAAAGAAAATGATATAATATAGATAATATTTAGGCCCTTTTCCACTTAACCTAGAATTAATTTCAAATTGAATGTGAAGATAACATTAATTGTTAGCAAATAGTGAAGATAGGGAAATTTGTGAGAAATTATTGTCATTTTGAAATTTTGAAAATGTAAAATTGTGAAATTTATATAATGACACTTTATAAATATGCATGCTCCTTTCCGCTAGATTAATGTTTTAAAATGATGTAAAAATATTTGAAATACTGGGCAACTGCTTTTATACGCTGCTAATTGTAGCCTGACGACTTCTTTCGGTATATGATTAATATATCACTCACTAAATAATAAAAAATAAAATAAAATAAATAATTTTATTTTTTTATATATGTTAATATAGAATCGAAAAACCAATACGGATTATTGAACTGTTGATTAAACTTTTAATAATGATAATAATAACAATAAGATTAATAATAAAAAGAATAGCGGTGTCAGCGATAATTAGGCCATGCCAGCCTGTCACCGATTCTTAATTAACCGCCCGGTTTCCTTGCCGATTCCGACCAAACTGCCACATGAAGCGAGGATCTAATTCCTTCACCTCTCTGCTCCAATCCTGGTACTCTGAATACTCTGAACTGTAACCACTCGGCCACCCTGCCCTGTGTTAGCAGTATATTGAAGTCAGAGTCGTAATTATTTCAATACCAATAAATGCGAGCTGAATTTTCATAGCTTTTAGCTCAAGTTCCTACAAAAAATTCCTGTCTGAACCTCAAGGTTGCCTGAGGAAGGCGTGACGACAGAGGATGGATATGGAGCTGCTGAGGTGAACAAGTTTTTGAACAAGTCTCTGGCATGTACAATGTACAGGTTTCCTGGGCATGCGCGTTGAAATTGTTTATTCCAAAAGACGTCGTTAACTTGTGTTTCTCACTTTGATTATGGCACCAGCTTCTGAACATAAAAAAGTTGACGAATCTTTGCTCGTGTTCATCGCTTGAATATGTTTTAGGGGTACAAGCAGGGCGCAACAATTCGTCTAATATTCGTGTTTTAGAGTCCATTTAATACTCATCATCGTACTTGAACCTTTATAGCGCGATGAAGTGCGCTAATATTCTTAATAACGATAAGGGATTTTATTCAATCACACATCATACATCAATAAAGGGATGAATATAATAAATGAGCGCACAGCTGACAAATCAACATTAAACTTGATTATAGGCTGTTTTACTATCAAGATGGCGATTGCAACTGGTCAAATGATCGATAGTTTTTACTTCATTGCGCAAGGGCGTTGAACAGCGGGCAGTCCAAGACCGTCGTCCATGAGAGTGAAGGGCTGCATGCTGACCTGCATCTGGCTACTAACTTGCTGAAGTTTGCGGTCGAATTAACGGAGGCCAAACGCAGTCCTTTGACATCCATGCACTGGATTAACGTTAATAGCTCTCGATCTTAATTTCTTGATGATTGTTGGTTCACCACCAGGCGCTACCTATTAGTGCATATTTAAAACGCGAAACGTCCACCGCAAGGGACATAGCTAAGGAAAGTATGCAGCATGAAGTCGCAGTTCATACCACTGTAATGAGTGGCGTCATTGTTTGCAAACGTGTATCCATGTTTCACCGTAGCTTCATAGATGTTTTATTATGAAGTTTTTTATATGAACCTTATCAAAATCAACCCAATCTCATCGACCTTCCTCTGATCTGTTCACGAAGATGCGACGCAGACCTGAGAAGCGCCCGAGTCATACAAGGCTCATTACTGCTTGACTCCTCAAGGGAAGCGGGTTCAAGAGTTAATCAAGCATGCGGGAACGTCCGTGATGAATTCAAGCAGTTATTTGTACTTGAGCCAGTACGTTCAAGAAAAGATTCCAAGCAACTACAGGACACCTCAAACACTACTCACACGTTGGATATTTACCATGACGATAAGACACAATAATTTGTTTTGCCCAACGATTATTTTAATCTTTTAGAAAGTATAATTTTCGTATGTTGTTGCCATTAGCATATATTTAGAAATTTTTTACGTATATGTATTGATGCCTCTTAGAAATGTCAATGCAAAGAACACTACTGGTGTTCGCATATACAGTTTATATCAACTGCAATGTACACCGTATACGCCGTTGGGGAAAAGGTCAGTTTGGTTTACCTTCACTTCATGGCCCTCACTGCATAACTTCACGAACAGGACAACGTCTCGGCTAACATTCGACCTTTGCTAGTTATTGCCATTAACAGACATAAGCCTTCCATGTTCGTTCATGGAACGCCCGACCCATTTGCTCGCACATCCGGTGTGTACCAAACATTTATATACCTATACGTATAATCATTTAAACTTCGTCCAAAGACAATATTCAAGAAGGAGGTACGAAAAGATTACGACAATATGAATTGAGATGCGAATGGCGGTGCGCCTGGGTGGCCTGGAACTCCGACGTCCGAAACACATAAGCACCCGAAGGAATGATAACATTGTCGATGTCAACGCACTTTCCGTAATTCTCGTTGAGTAAAACTATTTGTACCTGCGAGTTGGAATTAACAATCATCCCGACTTGTCCTAGTAGAAGAAGGCTTTTTAAATCGCATGATTGATATACGCAACTCGATTTTTAGCAAGTTATTTTCATAGGATCTCTGAGATCGTCCTTTAATATGAAATAATGTTGTTTTGCCGCCAAGCTCGAACTTCTAACTTAATAATGAAATACGTAGAATAAATTTGATTACAAGAATAAATTTGTTCATTGATAGTTGAATATTGAAATATTCCGCTGAGAATTAATTTCTTCATTTTCTTGTCCCCGGTATCATCAAGGTTGACGATAATATAGCGCTGACAAGGCGGGAACCGCAATGCTCCTTAGCGGAGGAAGACTACCTCTGTAGCTGATGGTAGTCAGTCTTCGACTAGCTTTGGTTTCGTGAGGTCGTGGAAGCTCCTCCTCCCATTGCCCTCACCCGTGCTGCGCTAGCAGGTCCAGCTGTGAGAACTGTGACTCATTATTAATTAGACTTGCTACACTTATTCCAAAATGAAGTTAGCTTGCTGTATCTTGTTATGCGCCGCGCTGGCTGTTACCGAAGCGGTGCCCCAAGGAAATATTCTTCGGGTGAGTTTTTCCTGCGTTCAATGAAGCTGATTTTTTTTACAGGGCCATGCAATTTTGATCACACTTTTTAAAATGAATTAAAAACTGTAGCAATGGTACATTTTGAGAACATTTAATACGGATGAACTCTTTGCAGATTGAAATAAATTTCTGCCTAATAATTGATATTAATTAATGCAGATTGAAATAAATTTATGGCTAATATTTGAGATCAATGTGTGCGATAAATATAATCGATCACGATAAATGAGCAGGATCAATCGTACGAAAATGCATCATCACATACTTCATCACTTGATATTATGTGCAACCTTACTATCTTAGTTCAATCACGAATAGAATATAACTAAACAGCACGAAAACTACTTGACTTGACCACCATAGTCCGAATCCTTACGGCGCATTTATGTCTATTTAGGTTAATCTTGTTTCTTTGCAATATGTATGTAGGTTTACGCATTACCGTTCATTACGTAAAACCAACGGGCTAATGTTTCAATGATAGAATACTTGTCCGAAATTGGTTTTATAGTTCTATACTAGTGATATTATTGAAAATGTCTAGAACATTGAAATGAACATCTCCTCTGGGTTTCAATTCGGAATACTGTAAATGAATTCCTTTTGATTCATTCGGGAATCGCTCTCCTCTCCAATATAAAATTATGGAAATTTAAAAATTATTTTCATATATAATCCAAGTTACTGAATAACAATCATTATGGTTAAGGGATGAATTTTATATACGATAGTATCAATGGAAAAGGTGAATTCATCCCTGCAAATGACGCTGAGATAATGTTGATGCAAGTATTTTCCGGTAAAACAACGTTTAATCGACGTCATTTCAACGTTAGATGTTATGATCGGTTTAATTAAGGAAAATAGATCACTTCATTAGAGCATCAGACTGGTGTCGTTAAAACAACGTTTAATCGACGTCATTTCAACGTTAGATGTTATGATCGGTTTAAGGAAAATAGAGCACTTCTTTAGAGCATCAGACTGGTGGCACGTAGAGTGAAGGTTCATCAGCTCGAGGTAGGTTAGTCACACGACGACGAACTCGCAGTGCTTGCTGTAAAAGTAAGAGGTCGACGAACACGTGCAAGGCGAGTCTAGTGCAGGTTATGAGGTCACTTTGCTCAGGGCAGGTACGCAATTAGTTATGGTGCTTTAAGTCATCAGTATCTACAGGTAATTTATCGTTATCGAAACATAAAATGATATAACATAAAACGTAAAATGACATGTAACGTAAAATTGTGACCATCATTTTAATTTTTCTCGACCTATTCTTTAGATTGTGGATTTTTTAAATAAAATTTAGTGAATCGTTTCCTTCGTTCGTATATCATCTTTCCAGAGGCAATTAAGAGGAGAAAGTTATTATTTTTTTGGATAGTCAGATTACGGTTGAGTTCGTACTCATTGCATTTTAGCCTATAAAGTAACAATCGTGTAATCAAATCGGTTCTTGAGAGTAAAATTATGCTTCTATTATCTATAGTACGTTTCGATGACATTTGTTCGAGTTTTCGTTATCGTCCTATTATCAGATGCAATTTAAACTTAAGATTTAGATCGAGGAAACGCCCAGAATGTTTCACTACGATGTGGATCTGCTTTTTACACATGTCTATTTATGTGAAGTAGGTACTGAAATTTTTTGGTATAGAATGTTTTGTCATCTAAGGCGTGAAAGCTTTGCAAATGTTGGCGTCACTCACTACAGTCGCGAGACATCTCTAAATTTGGGGCTGAAGTCTACAGAGGGATCAATTACGCGTACTATGGAGGCATGAATGTGCGTAGAAGATAATTGTTAATTAGGATATTTATTGTGTGGGCACTGTGGGGTACATGATGATCAACACAATATTTTCTCAGCTGAAAAAATTTGAATGGTACCCACTTTGTGCCCACAACAGCTTCGTTATCCCTGGTGCCGGTAAACCTCACTTTCACTTTCTCACCAGTTGCGAGGCTTGCTCCAGCTAGCCACTTCAGGTTGCTTCTTGCGTCAGGTCAAATCGTTGGTTGTAACGCGCATATATTTTTAGTATCCCGTATGATGGGTTCCAAGACTGTTTAACGAAAATTAAACTGGAATCACGGAACTCAGATTGAGCAGCCAGGGTCTACGGAATTTTGAACTTCTCTTCTTCAGAATGGATAAGATGATGACTGATGAGACTGTTTAGATTATAAATCTATTTAATTTGATTGTTATTTTAAAGGAGTTTCCTAAACGTATGATAGGGTGTGATAGTATTTCCTTGATTTTCATTTTCATGCTTCGCGAAGAAGCGTATTCGAAATAAGATCTTTTGTTGAAATACCTCTGAAGCAGTTCATCGCGTTGTTGCTTTAAAGCTATGCATAAAGGACACAGCAACTGCGTGCAAATGTGCAAGCTCTTTGTTTGATTTCGAAGTTCATGAGCGCAGAGGCTACGAAGATCACGATTTTAAGATTTAGAGAATAAGAGCAAGGTCTTTCGTATTATTTTCCTGTTCCATTCAGCATAGTTTTTTTCAACCTTCGTTCAAAATTTTGATGCTTTTTTCGTCGAACAATATTGATGAAATTTAAATTTCAGTTCTTCTGATATCTATCACCTTTCGCGATTATAAACGTTTGTTCGGAGGTGTGATCTTTTTCATTTTTACTATTAAAATGGGGAAAAAATTGTTTTTGGTATTAGTTGTTCGTATGTTTTTGAGTAGGAAGTGACGGTGAGGCAGCGAGTTTGATAAATGTCAAACCTGCCGGGAAAATTCAAAGAAGTTTAGCCCAGTTTGTGGTTTGAAGAAAAACTTGAACGACCTGCGAACGTGGTGCGATCTGTTGTCCAGTCTAGTGCGCCTGAAAGCGAACTTGTTCAACAGATACGATATATGAACTGGTCATTTGCAAGAGTGCAATCCTTCGGTACGCTAAGACTCACGGAAGAACTAAGTACACAAGTAGTAGTAGTCTGAACTGAGAAGGATAGTTTGTGTTGAGGTGGGAAATCCTTTTGGCTGTCGTGAACAAAACTGAACATCATTCAGATTTACCTTGTTTGAGTATTAAATTCGTCAGTTCTTACGTAACTGTGCAGATATGTTTGTAAAAATATCTCGAGTCGTGCAGTTTGTAGGCGAGATATAAATTAATTATTTATATCTCCTGAGCATATTTAATACCTTGTGATGTTGCTTGGAAACGAGTTTTGACGCATCACTCGAAAAAAATTCAGCACGCGTCAACAGCAGTTACAGCACATATATTCCCTCCTCTGGATCAAACATGCATAGAATGTATTTCGTAAGCTCGACTTCTTCTCTGATTAAGTAAAGGGCGGTTCTTTAACCTCCAATAAGAGGCGGTCAGGCCACGTATAAATGCTACGACATTAGCATGAGTTTTTTTTCTCCGATACAAGTGAACGTGTAGCAAGTGACAGTTGGAACACAGAATTAACTTTCTTATTTAGAGCTTTAACACTTCGTACATTAAGAATGAGTAAAAATATTATTTCATTTCGTTATTCTTCAATCAATTAATCCCCAATGTGGTTGGAGAGTCATTTTCAAATCAATATTTATTGAAAATATTCGAAAACAATCATCATATTTGAGACTTTGCTTCTGAACATGCTAGGTATTTCATTCAACATTTTTTCTCACTCAGCTGATCCATGCCTACTTAAAGGGTACTTGACCTTGCTTTGGTTTGACAATTGTGCATTAAAGAGAAGTTTCACCGCTGTAACTTTTTTGACGTTTTGTCGGTTCCTGTCATTAATCATTTTCTGCTTCATCAAAGTGAGCATCTTAATTCTGCTCAATTTTTCAACGTGTTGCGCTTAGCAATACAAACCTTTAGTAGCTCAGAAAAGTAAGCACATATTGCTTTTTATTCCTTGTTGTACAAATTGTGTCTTTAGTAGCTGTTTATAAACTTAATTTAAGAAACGTTAATTGGTCCGAGTGAGAAGCAATTGTTATTGATTTTACATGCGTGGAGGGGAAATTTCGTATACTATATAATAGAATATATACGTACGTATTTTGACTTTCCACAATGAGAGTTTAACACTACGTGCTGGACCAATTAGACAATGAAGAAGTTTTATCACTTCTATAGGCGTGACAGAAAATGTATGTTAAATCTGTGCTTGCATCCTCCAATAAACATCGCATGCCAATGTGGCCGATTTTTTAGTGTTTATGAAAGTGTTAAAATCGTGATAGTCATCAACTCGCAGCGCGTGGCTAGAGAAACGGAGAAGAACGTGACTTTATTCACACCTTAACAGGTCCTATACTTTCAAAAAAAGTTAGGAGATCGTAAGTTCATCAGCCAATCATTGACGGCCTTTCAAGCAAAATCCACCAATCATAGACAAGAAAAATAGAGCGTAAGTACTTACGTTCACTTGGCGAGTTCTGAAAGTATGGACCCTGGAATGGAGTAGTACTCATGATCGACGAGGTATGGGAAACTCTGTCTTCTTGATTTTTGGTCGTAACTCATCGATGGAGGATTCTAACACGATTGTTGAGCAACATCGTGCAAGCGTCCATCAATATCATGATTTTCATTGACCTTCCCGTCAGCAGATCAATCTTCTTCAGCTGTGGGGCTCGAGGCTGAGGACCCTGAGTCGGTATTGACAATTATTGAGCGAAACCTCGACTTTATATTTTCAAATTTCACTACTTCACTGGAACATTGGGAGAGGCCTAGTAATAGCAGATATGTTTTATAAATTCTAAACATATTTAGATTATTGATTATGACTTTACGTTGTATCACTTTACTCAGAAAAGACGAAGTGATAGTTATGTCATTTCAAACAATTCCTCCTCTCATTCTACCTCTTGTAAATCATGGCTGTTGCAAGGAATTGTGCGGCGAGGGCATTTACGTCGTTTGTTCGTTCGAACAAATAATAGCTCTCTCACTCAACCTCAACCTTGAAGCGACCTGCTCCCGATAGCATTCGAAAA